CGCACAGAGAGCGCGTGCGACACACACACACACACACACACACACACACACACACACACACACACACACACACACACGGGCACACACGCGCACGGGCACACGCTTTCTCGCCTTTACAATCATACAGTGTATATACTGTATGTATATTTCTGATAAGACTGACTCCAAAAAGTGTGGATGCTCTGTAAAATGTCCACCAAAACCAAATAAATTTATACACAATGTTACTCACAAAAGAGCGCAGGAAGAAAAGTTTGATGTTTTAATATTTCATCACAAAAGTCACGAAATGGGATACACAGGTATTTCCGCATTTTACAGTCCCAAAAATTCAACAAATCGTAATTAAGTTTTGAATGAGCTGTTTTTTTTAATTAAGAGATCAAAATTGAAACATGTAAATAGAGTAAAAAGTTGTATTCAAATTACAATTTTATTTGAACTTTGTTACATTTTAAATATTTCAGGACATTTTTTTAACCCGATTCCTAAAAGTTGGGATGCTGTGTAAAACGCTCGTCATAATGGTTTTAATACATCAATATATAGGCAGTTATTCAACTGAATTTTTATTTGCAGTCGGTCTCAGTCCGCATTCCCCTTGAAACAGCGGGGGATTACTGCATACAGTCAAAACAATTAACACCGTATCCAAACTCTCACCACTGTCCTGGAAAAAGTGGATAGGCTGTGGGGGGGAGGAGTAGAGGTGGGAGGGGGTGGGTTGTTTTGTGGGAAGGTGAGGGGGGGTGTTGGTAGAAGATCGAGGGAAAAAGTGACACCGAGGGCGTGGTGCCTCCCTAACACACCGACTGACATGTCTCAAAAGGACTGGCTGAGGCAGGAGAAAGACAAGCGGTGAAAAGGACGACAAACAATCACGGTGGACACACACACACACACACACACACACACACACACACACACACACACACACACACACACACACACACACACACAGGCTGTCTTATGTTTCCCTCGTCAAGGCTTAGCAGCAGCTGATGGGGAACGAATGTTTTCTCCGGAGCGGGATTGGCGGCTGATCCACTCCAAGGCCTCTCGGCGCCCTTTCTATCCTTAGTGATGAGCCTCCGGCGGAGCTTTTATGCTTTTTTATTGTCATTATTATTATTATTATTATTATTGTTAAAGCCAAGCACGACGTTTCGTCTTTTTGAGTCTCACACACACACACACACACACACACACACACACACACACACACGTTCACAGAGAAGCAAACTCCGGAGATGAACTAGCACACACTTACCTGAGGGAGACAAGAGTGGTTTTGGCACTCACCTCCACAGCGTTGTTGTTGCCGCTTTTATCGTACACGTCCTGCTGACCTGTCGGAGCACGCAAGACATCAATTAGACGCAATTCAGAATATCAAAAGCACGATTTGCAGATGTTGGAGACCCGTGAGTGAGTGAGAGAAAGAGAACGGACACTGAGGAATACTTGGAAAAAGTGTGTTTTAATACGTTTTGGTGTGTTTGTAATTATTTGAAATGTATTTAGGGCATGTGAGAGGGGAACAGTTTTTTTGGGGGTACATTTTTTTATTTGGTCTCTCACAATTGCGGGAGCGTCTGGAGACTCTCTTTTGCCACGTAATGACAAACAAGTTCCATCAAGTGTAACGGCGAACGTCGCATCTTTTAGTTTGTAAAATCTTGTCATTTAAAAACCCAACATAACATGTGCTACCCTGTAGATCACAAAAGATGGCAGGACTGGATGGTTTTTCTTCCTGGGTGGGGGGAACACTTCCATTGTTTGCCTTATTTTTTGGGGGGGAGGGGGGGCAAAAAATAAATAAATACACGTTTCAATATTGACCCTCAGTGAAAACATTGCGACGTTTAGTCGCTGGCTCGCATTGGCCCAGCCCAAATTTCCATTTTTTTTTTTTAAAAGCAATCAACAGAATTTCAATAAAAAGTCAATCAAGAATTGAGTAAGTCACATGACCCAACAATGGAACCATTCCCAGGTCAAGTGTACTGAATCTTGCTTGAAGGCGACATATTGAGTGTGAAAGGTTGTCTGCATATCTTGCAACTTGCGACCAGTCCAGGGTGGACCCTGCCTCTCACCCACAATCAAGTGGGATGGGCTCCAGGTCTCCCGTAACCCTAATGAGGACGAGGGCTCTAGAAAATGGATGAAGGGATTTTATTTTGCACCTGAGGGGGATCCGTGCCCCGTGTGCGCGTCCACTTGGCCGCCATTTGTGTGTATGCTGTGAGGCTGGATGCCCTGTTGCCTCTCCAGTTCCCCTTAAAAACACAAGACAACAAACACAACTGTGAGTTATATACTGTACACATTCCAGTGCATGGCTGTCACATCTTCAGCGGCGGGAAGTAACAAATTCACTATTCTGTGGCTTTATTCAAGTCGATTTTACCAGTATATGTGCCTTTTTTGTTTTGTTTGTTTTTCTGATGCCCTTTAAACTTGATTTCAGGAAGTACATTTCAGAGTCTGTACTTTACACTTTTACTTAAGGCATGGGTGTGTCCAAATTTTCATTTAAGGGTCACAGACAGAAAAATGTTTCCAACCAAGAAGGTTATAAGACAAATAGTTAAGGAATGTCGAGATTTTGTGGTGGCCAAGGCATTGTATCCCATTACACTAGATTCAATCCTGCACTGAACAGCTGCCAAATTGCATCTCCACATTCCGAACCAAAACAAGAACAAACTGTAGGTAGCTGACCAGCGGGTACTAAAGTACAGCGTGTGTGTACGTTTTGCCACCTCTACAAGCCTTACACTGGATATGTATGTGCTCCATCTCATTGACTTCGGAAATGGCCTCTCGCAGCTCCTCGGCAAATTTCCGCAGCTCCTCTCCGCTTGGCGAGCAAAAGCTGACCAGCTGCTTCTTCTCGGAGGTAAACGGGCTCAGCATGGTGATGCCATGGGCGTAGTCTGGTGCCAAACAAAAACACACGATGTATTTATTCAATGCGAAGTACGTAGGTGGAAGTAGTGCCTCCCATTTACCTCCTTACATAAAACTGAATGGATCCTGAAATGATAGGTGGTACAAGCAGCTACTAGGATGTTAGCTTAATTTACTCTTTTTTTTTTTTTTTTTTGTGACGTTTAGGTGGAGGATTACTCTCATTTTGATTTTGGAAAGAATATTGTTTCACTTGTCTATAATTTCTTCACCAGGGCGAAAACTAATGGGGGATCCCACCTTAAACAATAAACAATAAATTACGCTGATCCGTGTGAAATTGGTTGGACATTTCGACCATAACGGAACGCACGAAAAAGTCTACAAAACCCATGTTTGCAATGAGACGAGAAGTCGGCCATTTTCATTTCCTGTGGATATTTGGGCAAATGTACCCAAATATACTGCTATCAGAAATAGGTACGAAGACTCTATGTGGCCATGTTTGATGGTCATGTCCCCTTTGAGTCTCGCGCTGGGTTAGCTATTTCACCCAGTTTGGTTTACTCTTAATTCAGCAGTTTTAAGAGTGCAAGTCAGGGTACCACTGTAGTTTATGGTTTACATTATGCAGGTGTGTCTGATGTGCAAGTACGAATTCATTGTACATTCATTGCTGAAGAGGTGAAACTGCATTCCCAGGAGACCCATCGCTTTGCAGAAGGTGTAAGAAGCTGAGCTTTTCTTCTTGGGGCACAGCTTCAGGATCTGGAGACGCACCCAAATATGTTTGAAATGTCGGAAAGACGCTCGGATGAATAAAACAACATGGAGCTGAAATGCTGATATGCATCACATGTTTTGGAGCGTGCTCACCAAGAGCAGGTCGTTGAAGAGGAAGACCTCTCTCTGGAGCTGTGACAGTTTCTGTTTATGAGGTTTATTGGCATCGGGAACCTCAAACAGACGACAGCAGCACACAAGACGTCTGTGAGGTACAGCCAAGATCTGCGCAGGGGCAGTGGAAGAGAAAAGCGGGGATAAGTTAGGAAGAAGGTAGGCAAGTAGGTCATCATGTTCGTATGTTGGTCATCAGTGGGATATGTAGGTAAGTGAGGAATTAATACGATTCAAGGATGTTTTATTTGAAAATGGAACAACTCGGTTTGATTCAGTGGGATAACGATTTGATTCGATACGATACGGCTGAGTTTGCAAGAGTATGATAAAATGAGTTTCTTGTTGTTCCAATTTTTTTACAATATGAATAAATGTGTCAGTTAGGTTATCGTAAATGTGGCATTCCCTACAAAGATGTCTCCTTTCAATAAAACTCGATTCGATACGTATCTCAATATATTTTTAAGTCGAATCATTTGTTTTGATTCGATGCACTACTCATATCTTAAATCAGAACCAATTTTATGATTCAAATCATTTTTGTTACACTCTTGGTAGATAGGTAGGTAAATAGATAGGTTGGTAGACTGGGCGGTAAGTCAGTCCTTTGGTCAGATGTAGTAGATAGATGGGTCGAGAGTCAGCAAGCAAGCAAAGTAGCTAGCTAGCAAAGTAGTTGGTAGGTAGCTAGCTGGAGAGATAGCTAGCTAGCTAGCTAGCTAGCTAGCTAGCTAGATAGAAAGATAGATAGATAGATAGATAGATAGATAGATAGATAGATAGATAAGAGTTTCGCAAGGCTTACAGTCTTCAGGCCGAGGATGGACTGCTCCACGCGGCTCACATAGGTAACATGGTCCTCATTGGATCGCAGCTCTCTTTGTTGGATCCTTTCATAAATGCCAGCCACCATCTCTCTGGGGATGTCAGCTCCATCGTCCACACCTGAAAGAGCAGAGGTGCCCCAAAAAAAAAAAAAAAAAAAAAATTGCCTGACTCATTTTGAACAATACCGTCTGCAAGGCCAGGTGAAGGACCATTTAAAAGCTTCTTATTTCCCATCGATTGGGATCTCATGAGATTGTGAGAGCTTGAGCTATGAGAGGGAAAAAGTAAGTGTCTGACCAAATTGTTTTGTTTGCCGGATGCTGCTTGCAAGGACATTTATAAATCGTGGACTGTCTCACAAAGAATATAGAGGATGTTTTTTTTTCAAGGCTTGGGAATTAACTTTCCCTATCTACCTTACACAAACCACCGTCAAACTAATAGATGGCGATACATACATGGAAGGACAAAGAGACAGTGAGACAGACAGACAAACAGATCGTCAAATGAGTGCCCCTGCGGTGCCCAAAATGCAGGCCATTCACAGCCGCACCATGCAGGATGGCTGCACTTAATCGTTTTCTTCCCTGGTTTCCATGACAATGAACTGGCTGTCTGGAGCCCACTGTTGACTGAAGAAAAAGTGTTGTTGAGCAAAGGTAAATAGAAGTCAAAGCGCTGCCAGGCGAGCGGAGGTGATGAGACGCATGTGGAAAATACCAGCTCGTATCGTTAAATCGCAATGAGGCGCAATTAATTGGCACGCTCTCTGGGGCAGAACCCGAGGAGCTGAAGAAATATCTGACATGGAACACCAGGAGAGCGAGGAGAGCCCGGAGACTTTCACTTCAGGTGAACAGGCAATGACTTACGGGGCATAGGACTATGTTTTGTTCTTAATTCCGAACACAGTCACATTCCAGTCATGAGTATGAGCATATGTGTGTAGCCACATTTTTTTCAGTTGCTCTTTTAATCTTTCACGCAAGAAAATATATATAAAAAATTCAACTAAATTGTACAGGTTATAGGTCACATCAACGGCAGAAAAAAAATCTTGAAATTGTATATGGTGGTTTCATTTTTCTACATCCCAAAACCCTGACATTTGACGCGCTGCATGTATGCGTACTGTACATGACTGTCACCTCTGAGGTTGCGTATGAAGTCGTCGAGGCCCATCTTGCGCTGCGGTTTGATGTTGGGCGAGTACATGTCAGTGTTGAGGAGGACCACAGCAAAGGCCAGGATGAAGATGGTGTCAGGGTTGTGGAATTGCTGCACCACATCAGGATTACACATGCAGTAGCGCTGGCTGAGGGGATAGAAAAAGACACAACATAAATAGATATCAACACTTACTCACACGTGTGCTCAATGAATGAGGGTAATTATAAAAAGGTCCTTACTCTCTACATCACATTTGAATCAACATAAAAGCATCCAGCATCGATACAGTGACTCGACCCTCAATTTTGCAATAAAATGGAGTCTGCCAAATTCAACTTTTCACTTATTTGGATGGCTTTGGTCAAAACTGTTTTACTCCTGCATTAAATAATTCTGGAAAATGCTTTAATATTCAGCCTAGCTCTCTTGAGTTCCACCTGCAGGCTTCCACTGAATATTAGAAACACATCTCCAAACTTTTTTTTTTTTTGTGGTTCCTGAAGCGCAATCTAACCTAATGAAGTGGCCCCCTGACTTCATGGCTCGTGGCTTTTATCATTGCTATCACAGCACAGTTTCTCTCTGTTTTAAGATATGGATTGTGAGCTGGTTAGGATATGAGGAAAGGCACAATACCAGCACCTGGTAACGTGTGCTTTAGGCAAACCCTTGCAAAAAAAAAAAAAAAAAATAGATCTTTTAAAATTGTAAAGGCAGAAGAGGAAGGTTGCGGTCAGTGGTGTCTGACAATCAGGAGCGGTCGGCCATTAACGGCGCTGACAGGACGTGTTTGACAGTGCAAAGCGGTTTGCGCCATCGGTGGTGAAGTCACACTCCCGCCGTCACGTTGGCTCGCACGAGCATGATGAGATGCTGCACTTTGTCTGCTCTGTCGCTGCCCGCAGTCTTCAAAACGTCTCGCTCGCACCTCCCTGACTCCTTGACTGTCACTTGCGTTTACACACTGGGAGTCAGTGGGGCTTTTTATCACGACGAGCGCCAGCGCGGAGGCTACAAACACCAGAGGATAAATACGAGAGCACATTGCTTTTTATTTTAATGTTGTTTTTTAAATGTATTTAGCACAGGGTGGCACAACATGATGCTTAAAGTATCAGTAATGACATCCAGAATGGCACTCAGTAAGTTGAACCGTTTTGTTTACCATTGTTGATTTGTCCTTTAGTCTGTTTGTAGGCTACATTCCGGTTCATGAATGACCATATTGCTTTTGGGAAAGTGGTTGGATGGCTAAAACATAAAATAAATTATTGAATGACAAAAGTGGAGGAAAAAAAGGTGAAGTGCTCCATTTGGAATATTTTTTTCCATTTTTTTTCTTCATCAGACTACAAAGTACTTCACGGTTTATGATGTAAAGAGACAGTTTCTCATTATGTGGCAGAAGGAAAGATATTCGCCACATCCCCTGGCTCGCTAACATTAGCTAATATTCGCTAATCAAATCTATCAACCATCAAAATCCGTAACCATAAAATCTGATAATGGGGTAGCTAATATTCACCATAACATGGCTAGCTAACATTAGCTAATATAAGCTAATGTCATCAACGTTTGCAGACAACTTTGCTGTGACTCTACATTGTTATCAAGGTGTTGAGTTATTCCACAAATCATCCAAAAACATGAATCAAACAATAATGAAACAATTGTGCTGGGCTTTATGTAAGTTAGTTTGCAGTAATATGATACTTTTTGGTTCGAGTTGTAAATTGACAGGATCGTACCGTTTAGGATTCTGGGACACTGCATATTTACTTAAGTACCGTGTACCGTGACAGAAAAACTGCATACCTGTGTCAGGTTTTTCAGTCTACTATACTGTATCATTTTCATGGAACCATAAAAACATGGTGCGATTGTCAAAGAAAAAGCAGATGGGCAGAAAGAAGAGGAACAGATGCCAAAAAAGGAAAGAGTGTGGATATTTTTAGGATGTGATCAAATTCTTCATTTACTGACTGCAGCTCTTCTCGCCGCTTTAATTATTGACACATTTTTGTTTTTAATATTAGCTTTTGTAGAATCCTGCAAACTCGTTTTCCTTCTAGTTTCACCCAGTGAGCAAATGCAGTGATATCGCAGCTTCCCGACTCATTTACTTGACGTTCTATGCAGCAAAATGTTGAGGAGAGGCGAGCTCCGCTACTGAACGCGTGACTCCACGTGCGCACACTTTGTGCATGTTTTATGCACCGCTGTGCGAATAAGCAGCAACAACGTGCGCGTGTGAACGTCACTCTTGGCTTCGCATCTTATGTCAGCAGTCTGTTTCAACAGTGGCCTGGCATCTTCATATCATGCCAGCTGGCACAAAGAGGCCTCCGCCACGATGACAGCGCAACACACACACAAACACGCACACACACACACACACACACACGCACACACACACGCACACACGCACAGATGACATAACAAGCGTTACGTAACACACACGCCACATCCGGATAAGGCCCGCTCACTTGTGACCTATGCTCACAAAGTGCGGTCCGCGATTGCCGTTGACAGATGTGTAATGTGCACCACCCAAAGGGCCCGCGTACCTATGACTCGGCGACATGTGATGAAGTGTTCTGATTGGCATTTAAGTGAGCGGAGAAGTGCGATGATGATTTGCTTCTCCCCTCCACCGCCTTTCTTCTCTAAAGATGATCTAAAATACATTACAGGGGGCGGGTGGGGGAAATCCTCATCTTACAAAGGAGTTTGGTGTTCATAAATTCCGGCTTAGCTTCTGCTGGTTCTTTTTCTTTAATGCTTGTTATATGAAAGACCAGAACGGAGGACCGCAAGTCAAAGTCCAACAGGTTTAATACCAGAAAGATTGAGAAAGCGGTCTGCATGACTGTCAACTACACAGCCAGAAGAGAGTCGGCTGCCCCTTAGACTTATTCCTTACTTGGTCGACGCCCTTGCAGCGGGGTGACACAGACTAAATTAAGAGTTACCCCCATGGGGCCTGCAGGCACCAGGTCGCTCCCGATGCTAATGCTCGGGAACTAGCCCCATAGAGTACATTTCAAAGATCGATCAAACAACATGAACTCACTATCGCCGTATTGATGTATTTTTTGTTATGATAAAAGAAAAACCCTATCTTGCTGCACAAAGGACACACACGGTGTATTACATTGACTGTGGCACATCCACAACCCAAAATCACAGCAGCAATTTTTCTCATATTTTTCCCTTCGAGAAACATGTGGACACATCCTGGACGTTTCAAGGGCAGCGCTGCACAGAAAATTTGTTTGCTCACTTCCTTCTCTCAGCATAAAGGCACTGTGAATACTACACTTGATCTCTTGAAAGGAAATTGTTATTGAAAAGTGCCTTAAATTTGCCTAATATAGAAAGAAGGACACGGCATTTCCTGCCCACTCATCAAGTGTGAAATCATAAAACCAAGAAGAGCTTTTGTGAGCTATCCAATTCCCAAAATGTGTTTGTAAGTGAGCTTTTCAGAATTGTGATGTAACAGTGGCGATAATCTACATAATATTGCCCCCACGCAGAGTTTCTCCACTCATGACTCAGCAGCTAGGCAAGGCAAAAATCTGCCATTTACGAATGACGGCAGGACTGCAGTCTCATGCTGAGTCAAAAGCCATATCATAAAAATGTATTTTCAGACACATTTTAGCCATTTCAGGGACAGTGGTTACTACAGTGGTCATCTTATCGTGTTATCAGGTTACAGGGTGCATGAAAGGGTTAAAGATGGACAGAGCCTAATGTTTTGTGGGAGGTCAGTCCAAAAAGAGGGACTGGCAATGGAAAAAGCTCAATCCCCTCTCAAATGTACAGGGAGCCATGAGGGAGGCCAAAATCGGAGTTATGTGCTCCTTCCTATGAGCTCCATGGAGAGGCTTTACCTTAGCCATCTGCCTAAGGGAAAAAAAGATGGCCTGACCAACGGCACCAATCTTGAGACTGTTGGCTTTAGATAAGGCACCAAGGAGCCAAAGTCAACAGGGTGGGATGAACAAAGGCGCCAATGGGACCAAACACCATTACATTTTCTTTTCGGTGAAATTTAAGACGTTCACTGCCATCCAGGCCTTGATTTCTTACCGGTACCCTTTTTCCTCTGCGGGACATAGGTCTGACAATCATATGGGAAGTAGTAAAAGGAAATACTGTGCTTCCTTAAAACGGTCCCCAGCTGCAGTAAATCCAATGAAAACAGCAGGGGACCCAAAATTGAACCCTGCGGAACACCATTTGACATTGAGGCAGAGGTGGACTCAAGAGAAACCAAGGCGAACAACAAAAGGTTTATCGACCAAATTGACCCAACAATGATGGCTTACTCTGGTGAACCACATTCTCTAAAATCCACAAAGAAACAGCAATTTACCACCGTCAAATAAGGAACATGGACAGAGGAGTCAAAATTTACATTTGAGATGGGAGAGAGATCAAACTGGCGAGCTTGTAGCGCATGATCTCTCTGCTCTGTGGCAACGACTCCAATCACCGGAGCTCAGCAGGGGACCTTCTCTGCCTCTTTGTGTTGCTTTTAATTATGCTGCATCTGTTCCAGTGGACCTCAGTAATGACTGGCATGTTGAGGCACAACGTGACACTACATAGAAGGCGTGCAACTCTAAATTCAGACCTGCCTGAATACTGTAAAAAGAATTGCTTAAAAATTCCACAATATATTGGATGAAGCACATCCTCATAACACACCCAAACCCTGCCAACAATGTGTTTGGAAAGTGTCGCCAGGAGGTTGTTGTGAAGTAGCGAGCATCTATTTTTGTACGCTCAGTGATCTACATCATTTTTTTTTCGGTGCTTGATTTGGCAAGTTCACCCACGGTTGCAGGCAATCAGAATAATTAGTTAATGATACCAGAGCGAGGCTCTCATCACAACCTGTCACCATGACCTCTCACAAGCACTTACGGGCTATTAAAATGTCTCTCTGGATGTGGATGTCTAATAGCCCCAAGGCAGATACATGACATCAAAGATCCTTTTGCTCTTTCTTTTTTAAAATGTTTCTTTAATTTATTTATTTTTTTGATTGAGTGCAGAATATGTAAGCACCGGTCGCCGGCGGCAAAGCAGAAAAGAAGGTGCCCTTTTGGTTGTGAGCGTGTGATGGATTTATGTTGTTGTGTTTTCCAAGAGCAACGCTGAACTCAAAGATCCCGGAAGTAGAAAAAAATCTGTCAAAATCCTAAAAGTTTTAAAATTCTGTGCAACATCAAGTAAAGCAGTACAAGAAAATGAATGAGAGAGGAAGAAGACTTTACATGGAATTCACTGACACGAACTAAGAGGAGTTGTATTCCAATACAACTAGCAAGACTGTCCCAAAATGTTCTTTTGTTTTTTTGTTTTTTTTTTACAGTGGTGAACTTCTTTATACACTCGTGTGACAATGGTGTACTCACTTCATGTCTCACTTTCGGTCTGGGCACTTAATAGTTTTTCCTGAATTCTCAACTCTTCAATGATGTAAGAAAAGATTACCGGTACAAAATAACTTTCTTTTTTTTTGTTCAATGTTTATTTGTATGTGGACTAAAATATGAGATTCAAACAAATCCATTTTAAATTAACATTCTTGTTTTTATTTGTACTTGTAATGTTATACATTCAATGAATAAATTTTACACTATATTGTCTCTATTTGTAATTTGTATCGTAGATGCATGTTGTAAATATCTTTTTTTATATAACAACATAAAAATATTTCAATTCATATACATCTTCGTATTAACTGTGGTTCAATTATTTTGAGACTTGTATGACAGTTAAGAATCTTAAAATATTTCCTGTTAGCTTACATTTTATGGCGGTGAAAATCTCCACGCTTGGCACCTGATATGAATGTTTTTTTGTTTCCTGATTCACACTTTTTTTCCGAATTTGTCTTTAAATATGTACATTCAAAAATGTATTATAAATTCTATAACATGTAAAATGTTCATTACATGAACACACTGGAATATATTATCAAATATGTATACATTTAAATATGAACAGTGATTTTCTTAATTTTCTACAGTTACAATATCATCTTTATTTACATTATGACGACAGATGTTTTATGATTGTTTTTTATAAAAACATATCTAGCTATATCAATCTGAAATGAAGTATATCTATATGTACATATTAATCCCCCCCAAAAAAAGTAAAACAAAGAAATGTCTAATATTTGAAAAATTAAATTGCGTTACTTCATTCCCATCACTTCATTGCATCGCGATGATGTCAGCATTTTCTGTCATCTGATTGGTTGGCCAGAGCAAGCCAAATCCGACAAGCAAATCACGTCTGTTGCGATTGGCACGATTTTAATAATCAATCTCTATTTGACAGCCTGGATACCAAATGCAGGGGGGGGGCACCAGCTGCCGTTTTTTAACCCGTCGTGTGAAAATGTTTCGTTGGAGTGCCTCCAGCTTCTCACCTGAAGGCCTCAATGAGTCGCTCCACCTTCTGCGCCTCGCCCTGCACGCGCACGTGAGCCTGAAACTTTCTCAGGGCCTCGTCCAGCTCCATGCACGAGAAATCCATCTCGTCCACCACGCAGCTGCCAGCAAACAAACACACACGCACACACACACACGCACACACACACACACACACACACACACACACACACACACACACACACACACACACACACACACACACACACACACAGGGAGCGAAAAAAAAAATAGAAGAAACAATTTAGCACGTAGGAGGTGACATGGGCAGTTACGTCCGAGCCAATGCGCACACACACACACACACACACACACACCCACACACACACACACACACACACACACACACACACACACACACACACTGATGACAAAACTTTCCTCTTACAGTCATATACTTCCATTACTGAGGCACTGACCTGGAAGACACACACACACGCACACACACACACACACACACACACACACACACACACACACACACACACACACACAAGCGCAGAAAGAGGAAAGTGATGACAGTGGGAGATACGAGACATGCGAGTCACATAATGACATTCAAAGAGGTACATGAAAGGCTTAGAATGTGCCAATGGCAGCAGCACATCCAGGAATATGTGTGTGTATGTGCGCATGCGTGCGCAAGTGTGTGTGTGTGTGTGTGTGTGTGTGTGTGTGTGTGTGTGTGTGTGCGTGTGTGTGTGTGTGTGTGTGTAGTGACCTATTTTGACAATTTCAGCAACAACTTCAGCAAAAAGCCTGTCCCTCCATCCTCGATGGTCCTCACGTGAAGACGGATATAAAAACATGAGCATTTTGAATGAAATCGTCTTGCATTTATGCATGCCAGCGTGTACGTGATGACTAATCGGGCCAATGCTGAAGACCAGAATTCTACAATCATGAGAGAAAAAGTGTGTTTCTTGAAGTATAATGTAAAGAATCCAAAGAGAAAGATGAGTACCTCGACAAGAATAAAGCTGCAATATTATTAGAAAAAGTTATTTAATGAGGAAAAAAAGTCCCCGTTTTTTTTTTTTAATAATCCCATTGAATCATAATCCTTTTCATTGGGTAATTTCCATTAAATATGTATTTATGATTGCTTTTGTCAAGTTCAAGTTGTTTCTGTGACCACTGTGGGTTTTTCTTTCATTAGTAGAATGTTGAAGCTCTCTATGACACAGGTGAACAAGTCAAGGCCCGGGGGCCAGATCTGGCCCGCCACCTCATTTTATGTGGCCTGTGAAAGAAACTCGAGCATGTCAAGTTCCATGATGCTTACTAAAGTCTGAACCAAAATTTCAAATTGTCATATGTAATCCACAATAACAGTCATGATTCTTGACTTCTGATTTTAAAAGTAGCTATTCATCAATTTGTTGTGTGCTGTGTATGTAATATGTGGACAGGATTAAACATTGATATGGTTTTCCAAAATTCATAACGGCCCACCAAGGCAAACTGTAACTACAATGCGGCCCGCTACAAAAATGAGTTTGACACTCGAGCTCTTATTTAAGTGGCCAACTATTTGGACATATACCGGGACAATGTTATATGGCTCTTCAAATGTGTTTCCTTCATCATAACATCGTAACACAATTAATATAAAGTTCTTTGGTACTTTATATTGACTGATGCAGTACAGGATGTAAATGATTCACTCTAGGATAATATACGAAGGGAAAATAATATATAGCTATCTCCTAGCTACTGTATAACAGCTTCCATTGTGGAGCCTGTGATAGGATCTCTTCCCATTTCTTTTTTGAAGAGTTTTGCAGTCATGCAGCAGACAAGCCACAGCTCATTCTTAACCTTGGAAAACATTTGACAAAAAGCTCTTAAGATCCAAAGTAGCTTCCCCCGACCCCCCAGCCTTCTTTATTCCAATTTGATATGGCTCTCAGCAACACGACAACTCCAAAAAGTCTCTTCATTATATGCTTTTATGTACTTTTTTTTGGTCACCCTTCTACAACTTTGAAAACATGACAATGAGTCCTGGAGGCCCTCGAAATGGAGGAAGGCTGATTGAAATCTGAAGATAAAAGTAGCGGAGCTGCACCTAATTCAACTCCAGGGTGTCGAGTAGCTCACTCTACGGCTATATCTCACTACAAATGCATGTGCACCCATGCTTATTACTTGCAGCTAGCCAGAATATCAGCATAGCTGTCGATGCACAGGTCAATAAAAGTGGGAAGTGCTAAACCTGCAAAAGGTCTTGTATAATTCATGGCTTTGGCCCGGTATCCCAACATCAACTTGAATGATGTCGCTGATAAAATGTTGAAAGGAAAGGTCGCGGCAAAAACATCAGCAAAAAAAAAAAAATAGAAAAACAAAATTCTCCCTCCATTCTGGATGTGATAAGGATAGATGCAAAAATCGAAGCTTTTTGAAGAAAAGTGCATTTCAGGGCCGTTTGAAATGATTATGAGAAGTAAAGCGGCAAAGTTATAAGTATGATTTTTTTAAAAAGTTGTAATTTTCCAACAAAAAATACGGTATTATGAATTCCCTCAAATAAAGTTGAAATATGAGAAGTAAATTTATGGGTCAACATACATTTTTTTTATGAACATAAAGTTGTAATATTACCACAAAACTATATGTATAGTGTTACAAGAATAAAATTGTTATGTAAATAAAGTATTATTACAATAACAACTTTAATTCTACTTTTAAGGAACTTAAGTTGTATTTTTTTCTTCAAGAAAAAGCCTGAAAGATACGAGAAAAATATTTGTCAAATTACAAGAATTCATTCGCATCAGTACGAGACTAGGGTTGTATTTTGTTCATAAAACAGAATGCTACAGGTTGCATAATTGTTAAATACAGAAGCAAAAATCGAAAATAATAATAATAATAATAATAGCAGTGTCACAAAAATTAAATTGGACTTTTTAAAGAATTTTTTTTATGAATGAAAAAAATTTTTTTTTTTTCAAAAATGAAGTTTTAATTTCAGAAACATACACAATCTAGTCATAATTTATGGTAATAAAGGTATGAAAAAAGAAGTCTTGGTTTTTATGCTCAAGTTAGGAGAACCGCACTTTATAATTGTACAAAAAGTACTGCAAGGAACAGAGAATTACTGAATAAAGGCAAATGACGACCTTTTCCAACAGAATTCATCACTTGTCATTCTTTTGCTGCCTTTGAACAGGCTTTTTTCTGTTGCTTTACTTTTTTTTTTTTTGCTTCTGACCCTTTTTTCAATCCCCACTGAAGCATTTGAAAGATGGCAAAGGTTCAATTGCTTGAAAGATAAAAACTGGTAATGGCTTACAAAGACTCTAGAAAGCAGCGGTGAATTATTTAGATTGAATCTAAAGTCGTCTCCACTGGGGAAACCAAACAAAGGCTAGCGACTAGGAGATTCTATTTTAATCTGAATGTCCGAAAATTGGAATAAAGAATGAATAAATACCGACACCGAATTATAGCAAATTAGTCTGCGTGGCAAGTGCGGTCCTGTCGCATGCAAATAAGCCACTGCTCACCTTGCCCCCTCAACTGCGAGGTCAATGTCGAGCTTTTGTTATGAGGCAGGAGTGCATGCAGTGTGAGAAGAAAAAAAAAGCAAGCGGCTGTAAAAGCATGGATTGTATTTTCACTAAAGGAGGCAGTGCTTCATCACCAAGTTGCCGCACTGCACTTGCTGATTAGCGCATTGCACACATTGCACCCTATACATGTTTTGAGGGAGCAGTCCCGTCTCTATAATGCAGCTTTCGCTACCAGGGCAACAAAAGGCAAAGTTTCTTGTTGAGCCTCAAGTTTAAAAAGCAATTGCAAACTGCAGAGTATAGATGGCATTTTCACTTGTGCAGGCAGCACTTCATCACCAATTCAAATTGTCAATGAATATCGGTCAACGGCAACATTTTAATCCACGATGTACTTTTTGTGTCCCGAAACATATTTTTGATGCTGATTAAAAATATTATTATTATTATTATTATTATTATTATTATTATTATTATTACGATTATGAAAACCTGTGATGCGTTAAAGCCAGGGCAGATTCGAAATGAGCGCAAGAAATAATGACGAAAAGTTTCCATGCATTTCCGATTGTAAAAAAAAAAATGTTGAAACATTTGAGCCATAAAACGTTCCCTTTGATACGATATAACGAGAGTGAAATGTATCGCCCACCATGTTAGACAAACAACAACGATGGTGTCAGAAGACATTTAACACGACATTTTGCATTTCGGAAGAAAAGCGCGCCGACTCACTCAAGAACGTCTCTGTTGAACTGCAGTTTGCTGTTGCCCAGGAACTCTCCGATCATCTGCCTGCTCAGGCCTTTCCTCTGCAGCAGGAAGTGAGCCACGCCGATGGCCGTGTCAGGCACGAAGCCGCGCGTGATCAGGAAGTGGATGCCTTTCTCCGGGTTGCTGTCACCACAAGGGGCAAACGGTTAAGAAAAATCGATCAATAAAAACACAGGTTCACGATATCATAAATATACGTCATATTGACCAACAAGCAGGGCGGGGCTCGCTGTTTGGTGAGTTTCAGTTACGTAATCTTTTTGTCGTCAAACGTGAGCCACTGCCGTTTAAAAGTACAAAGATATGCTAATTCATGATGATTCCATATTTGAGAGGTTAAAATAAAACATTGAATCTAAAGAAAAATAAGATTGGCAAAAATAAAAAATCTGAAAAAAATACCAACATTCATGTCATAATAATTAAGCTAATTTTCTGGACTGAACATTTGGAATTATTTGAGTAATAATGAAGAGTTTTGAGCAATAGGAAACTGTAGAAACAGCAGATTACAATCTTTCGACATTTTCAAATGTGTTTGAAAATGTTTGCTTTTGTATTTAATGTAATGTAACTAAGAAAATGTCTTTTTCAGTCTTGCTGATCTTCATTAAAACCTTTATCAAGTATAACCTATTTATAAACCATTTATAAACACTTCATCGGCGTAGCATTGGAATGTTGGTGCTTTTTTTCATATGGGAGCTTGCAACTGCTCGATCATTCAAAAGGATACTTACGTTGCGTGCGTGCGTATGCGTGTGCGTGACAGAAAGAAGAAATTGCTTTTGAAATAAAGGAAAACCTGAGTGCATTCATGCTCCGAGCGTCCAAGAGTTTGAGGACGCGTCCAGGTCAGAGCGGCTGTCAGCGATGCGTGCTGCTTAATCAAGTTTAATTCGCAATAACTAATAGTAATGATGAGAAGGAAAGGCCAGTCGTGCTCTCCCTCTATTTATGGCTCCTGTCACATTGTGCATGCCCTCCGCCGCTTCTCTTTTATATCTCCTCTATCGCCTCGATGCCTTTGCCTTTATTTTCTTGTCTGTAGTGAGCCTCTCCCACAAAAGAAACTCCCAGGGCAAAAAGTGTACTTTGAAGAAAGACGAGTGCATTTCTGTGTGTGTGTGTGTGGGGGGGGGGGGTGTACTGTAGTTCCACTCACACATTGAAGAGGTTTAATCCAATGCGATAGAGCCGTTTACGATGTGTGTCAGTGGAGAGGGTGGGTGAGCGGCAGGACGCTGGATCCTGGCATCGATCCCTGGGCAGGGAGACCACCAGCGCCTGGAGGGCATCTGGGCCGGTGCCCGCCGCCAGCTGCTGAGGGTGGGTGTAGTGGTACTGCTGGTACTGGGTGTAAATCTGGGCGGGCTGCTGGTCGGACTGGGCCGAGGTGACGATGGCGGTGGAGGTAGACGTGGAGGTGGAGCCGGCTATGTCCGATATGCCGTCCACCGGTAGGGCGCCCGCCGGGACGGGCACGGCCGAGCCCCTCCGTGACCCCGGATCCAAATTCTCCAGCTCCTCGCTGGGAGGAGGCGCGGGGAACTCCGGCTCCTCGGCGGACTCTCCACCGGCGAGGCCCATCCCGCTGAGCGAGGTCTTCCTGCTGCCCGCCTCGCCGCCAGCGTTGCCCAGGGAGGTGGTGGTGGTGGTGGTGGTTGCCGAGGAGATGGTGTAGGAACTATTGCTGTCGATGTGGACGGTGACGTCCCGGAAGGCCATGAGCAGGGAGCTGGCGCTGCGGGGGAGGCAGGCGCTCTCGGCGGCGGCGCGAAGAGCTCCCGGGTCCATGAGGAGGCCCTGGCCTTCCGAACTTTCAGATACGCTCCAACCACGGAGGGCCTCATCTATCGACTGGGCCAGCGAGTGAAGCTGAAAGTGCAAAAAAAAAAAAAAAGGATAATTTGTACATGGGCAGTATAAGGGTTTGTCATGGTGGGGCAGTGGTGAGCCTGAGTGGCTCCCAGTGAGGAAATCTGTGTTTGAATCTCAGGTGAAATGTCCCAAAAAGCATCAAAGTCAACTGTATTCCTTCATTTGTTTTACATTTTAGAAGACATTGTGGAATAGTGGTTGGCATAATTGCCTCGGAGTCAGGAAATCCTCATTAAAATCAATGTGGTCGTTGGAAGACTCGAAAACAATACTGAAGATGTCAATGTTAGTGTTAGCCTCATGAGAAAAAGAGCTATATAAAAAAAAAAAAAATGGATGGATTTTTTTTTGGTCACCTTGACACATTAAGATACACACACCTGCACATTTTAAAAAGAACAGTGTCTCATCATGATGAAGTACAATGGTGCAGAATAAAGGACAAAACTGGACTCCTACTCCGAGCAGAGTCGCTAATTATCTGCCCTTTGTAAGACCAATAGGTCTAAACGAATAGCGACAGTGTCTTCGTAATTAGATCATGCGGTAAAACCGCTGAAACAAGCTTTTTTTTTTTTGCTTTGGTTAACATCGGATTTAAAATTCATGTGGGAGGAAGTCATCACGTGATTCAATCAGCGAATGGCAAATATACGGTATATTCATGACGACATGTGGACGGATGAAAAGTTGTTTGTCTGTATGTGCCTCAGTGCCCTGCTTCTCTTGCCAAAAGGCAGATGGCTCATCTGATCCTTATGATAACATCTAAATGGTCCATAGGTTTAAATGAGGGTGAATAATTGTTTGTCGGTTGACCGGTGACCAGTCCAGGTTGTGCCCTGCCTCTCAAAGTCAGCAAAGACTCCAGTTACTTGGATGAACAGGATTCGTATTTCTGGTGTAGAAACCGAGTAACTCCATCTTACTTGTTCGGAGAAGCAGTCCTCCAGCTGTGAGAGCGAGGGTCCGGGGCTTTGAGAGGGCGTCGGTCCCACGGTCGGAGGGGCAGCCGCTGCCGGTGCGGACGCGGGAGACGGGGGCAGAGAGGTGGAGCGACAAGGCGGCGGTGGCGGCGTCTTGGAACGAAGCGGGATCTGCCCGCCCCCCGGATGGAGGGAATAACTGTGTCTCTGGGTGCTATTGCGATTCCGTCCCGAGGGGCTGGGTTGGCGCAGGGAGATCCGGCGGGGTAGCTTGCTTTCCGAGAGTGAGTTGCGAATCTTTTGGAAGTTTTTGCTGAGCTGGTACTGACGGAAGGCGGTCTGGATGCGGCGGGCGGCCCGTCTGGCAATAAGGTGGCCTCCGTACTTCTGCTCCAGGTCTTCTATCTGGACAGAGGAAGGTGGAGAGAGGAGATGTTAGCAACCACTTACAAATAAGCAGTATTTTTTATCCTTTCAAAGCCTCAATGGGCCTTGAAAAGGCGGATGATATCAACAATATATGTACCACTGTTCCTATGGTTATTATATCTGTCTCATGCAGTGTATTCCAAACTTTATTGAGCCAGGGCGCGCTTACTGTACAGTAGTATCTTAACATACGAGTTTCATTCATTCCAGGCTCGTAACTTATTTCAATCATGTATCAAATCAGTCTTTGACATTGAAATTAATTGAAATGCCATTAATCTGTTCCGGCCTCCTCCAAAAAAATTTTTCTGGACCATTGGACCAGACAGGGTGGCCTACAATTCGTGCAGTGGCCGCTGTATCAGGCATGCTAGCATGTTTGTTGCATTTCACCTACGATCGATAAAATCAGTATCGGTAATTTATTTCGAATTTCCAGTGAGTGAGTAAGTGAGTAAGTTTTTGGGGAGTGGTGTGAAAGTCACCTAACACTACACATACATTTTCTTGATACAAACATTTGCAAACATCGGTGATTAAATATATATCACGTGAACAAAACTGATCATTTTTATCTTTGCGCTCGCACTGGATGTCATTACCAGGCGTGCCGAAGGAATTGTTTAAAAAAGTTCCACTGCCAAACTTTCCAGCAAAGAAGAAAAATCAGACCGATAGGGAAAAGGAGGACAGACGCATATCATGAGAACACCCCACAAAAATGCACACGCACCCACGCACCCACACACACACACACACACACACACACACACACACACACACACACACGGAAGCCGTTATTAGCTGCTGCCATGGCAACCTAGCATCTTTCATGCTCCCGTCACTGTGGATGTTGAGACACTGGTGTTCATTTTTTTTCTCTCTTTCATGTCAACAGAGACAGAAATAGATCTGAATGGGCTTCTTCTTTTGCAGCACGCAATGTCATCCTCGCACCCCCACTACCCTCACCACCAGTCCCCCTCGTGCTCAAATATAAACGTCGCTCCGTCTCTCTCCTGCCCAGGGCGAAATACACACCCCGATATGACGGACATAATTCAGGATTGAAGTGGAACCCCGCGATTCGCGGAGGCATCGAGACCGGGCCTGCCCACAAATAACAAAAATCCGCGTATAACTGACATCCATTATTTATTTATTTTAACCCAGAAAAGTCTTTTAAAAAATGGGGTGAGCATTTTTCAAAAAACAGGAATTGTTGCACAAATAATAGTGTAAAATATTTTGAAAAATATTGACAAAATAAAAAAAAGTTGACTCACACAGCACACTAAAATGCATGCATATAAAATCCTAAAATGCTTTCCACACATCAAATTGAAAAGATCAATCACTCACTAATGATATGCAAATGTATGTATCCTACATTATATGAAAACATTTCAATATGATGCATGACAGTATTTCAGTACTTTACACGAAAGCCTTTTAGTATATTATATGAGAGCCTCTGTGTATATGACATGAGGATATTTCAGTATATTTTATAGGAGAGTGTCAGGAAAATGTGCAGGAACATTTCAGTGTAGTATATGAAAGTGCAAAAGCCTTTCATATTATGTGTGAGAGCATCTCAAAATATCATATTAGGGCATTTTAGTGTGATGTGTCAAAGCTGGTCGGTGTATAATTCGAGAGTGGTTCAGTATGACATGCCAGAGTATTTCAGTATGATGTGTGAGAGAATGTCAATATAGTAAAAGACAACATTTAAATAGATTATATGAGATCACTTTAGTTTGGTGCGTGAAAGCATTCTGTTTCAGTAAGGCATCAAAGCAGCTCATTATATTATATGAAAGTGTTTCAGTATGATGTGTGAGAGAATTTCAGTGTGCTATTGCAGTCTAACACACACAATTTCAGTAAATCGTTTCACAACGGTGCGAGAGAGCATTTTATCTAGGCGTGTATGTGAGAGGGTTTCACTTGTGTGTGTGAGAGGAATCGCACGGCGCCCGTGGCGGGCCGAGAAGGACGTACCTGTTTGTTTTTGTTCTCCAGGGAGATCTCATAGTCGCTGGGCCCCTCCCGCTTGGCTGCGCTGCCCTCCGCGTCGCGTCCTCCCGAGGACGAGCCGTCCTCCAGGCTCAGCAACCGGCCGCTGTCGTGGGAGTAAAAGGCGGATAGCCATCAGCGGTCGCCTCCGTCCATGACCTTCACAACGCGTCTGCCGAGTGTGTGTGTGTGTGTGTGTGTGTGTGTGTGTGTGTGTGTGTGTGTGTGTGTGTGTGTGTGTGTGTGTGTGAGAGGAGCAGGTGGGAAATGATTGCAGTTGCCGGAGGCTATAGCAGGACACAATCCCATCCCAGTTTGCAGCATTTAAATAATTTCAATCTTCTCTCAAGCCTTTGTAGGATAATCATATAATTTTGTTTTATAATGTACGGCCTTCTGATGTATTATTATCTATTCGATCTATATTTCGACAGGAGGGAAATGGTTACGATCCCATCTAGACTGACGATTCTGATCTTTTGCGAAGGACATCGTTCCGCTGGATCGCCCTAGTGGTTGGCGCGCCTGCCTCACAATCGAAGGGTCGGTGTTCGATTCTCAGCGCCGACCTTGCCGTGTGGAGTTTGCAAGAGTTTTCTTCCTTCCACATTCCACGTATGTTCAATTTGAAGAAAGGTTTTGCCGGATATGAGATATTTAAACGTATAGTCATCGGGCGAGTGAGAAGAGTTTTGAGGAGGAGCTGCGTGCAAAGTTGCAAGCAATTTTGCATCTCACCAAAGACTCAAAATTCAATGTAGTACTCGCAGCCGGGTAGTCCCCAAACCCAGCACATAAACCAGTAAAAATTGGAAACAATGTCCCTCTCACAGAATCGCAACCGGTACTGCGATGTGCAAACGCTCAGTGTTCTTAGCATGAATTAGAGCAAGAGAATGAGAAAGTCTGCATGCACTTGCGAGACACAGTGGGACAATCTCTTCAAAGTCAAACATGACTTGCATAAAAAGCAGCGAGATAACGTAATCAGCCTCTGCAGATATTTCACAAACAACCGTCTGCAATATAGCTGAAGCTGGAGGGTATGGGGAAATTTAAAAAAAAATATATAGGCTATTATTAATAATGTCTATTTTAATGCGGCCTTCACGGGGTTTATTGAGGCTGCGTTTAATAATTCCCCACTCTCCGTTTTATTTAATCCAAAAGACAAATATTGCTCTTTTACACGACATCAGCAGTGAAAATCTGCCAAATGAAAAATGAGGCCACCACAAAGCAAAAAGTTGAATTGTTGATATGTTAAAAGAGGCTCGTTATGGATCACCCCCCCCCCCTTCAAAGACCATCTCCCACCCCCCATTTTTACTGGTCAAACATTTTGCTCTGCTCAAGTGGCAATCTAAACACAGAAGCTAAGATACAGAGATCTCGGTTTTGCATGACAATTGTTATTTTTATGGACTATTTCGATTTTTAAGTGACATAGACAACTCAGTTTCAATGCATTTTTTATCAATCAAATAATCTGTAAATGATTTTTTTATATTATAATTATTTTGGGATGAGCGGGCCTCAATCACTGACAGATTATCATGACTTGTGGCGAGTTGATAAAACTGTTAGCTAAACCTAATTTGCGCATCCAACAAGACTGCAAATCTGCTCAGTTTTTAGCTTTGTTACGATAGCGTTTCCGTGTCGTCTGTCCATCACTTGAAAATATAGGATCTTCACCCAGCCTAGTCGCCATGTCATGGGCGGAGGAAGTTTGGCAAAATTGCGACAAGGGTCGCTCACAGACCCATTCTGGGGGAAATACACGGATCACAAAAAAAGATTTGTTTGGTTGTGTAATTTCACACTTGATGGGTGGGCAGGCACTCAAGGGAGCCGACTATTTTTATGCGAGCAATTAAAAAGACAACTTTCCATCACATGTCCCCTGCGAGCTCTGATCATCATTTGACAAATGTATTGTGCCGTGATTCTGTTTTTGTTCAGATTACATTTGGTTTTGTTTGATAGTTTTGTTTCTTTGTTTGGTTTTGTTGCCATCTGTTCTTGTCATCCGGGTCCCTTGTGTCAACCAATCAGCTCCCTCAACCCTTTTGTGTATTGTCCAGCTGTTCCATTGTCTCGTCAGTTTGCTTGGATTTAGTTCCCTTGGGTTCTTTCACAGTCTTTTGTCGGATTGTTGTCGCTGTCATTTGTCATTTTTGGTCATAGGTTTTTGTTTGTTTGTTACCTTTTTCCAGTGTTCCCCTGTAAGTATTTTTTGGGAATTCATTTGGTTCGGCGTACCCTGCTTCTCCTGCCTCCCTGCTTTTTAGGTCCAACCCATGACGCACATCCATGACACTATTGTGATTGCCTGCATCCTTGTCCTCAAAACACTTCATTCAGTGTATTCATAGGTAGCCCGAATGGATTACTGTAATACTTTGGATGTCAGCCAATCCTCCATGAAGCGTCTCCAGTTGGTCCAGAATGCTGCTGCTCGCCTCTTAACTGGTATTCGTAAGAGGGAGCACATAACTCCTACTCTGGCATCCCTTCACTGGCTCCCTCTACATTTTAGAGTTCTTTTTAAGATCCTATTATTTGTTTTCAAATCTTTCATAATTTGGCTGCTGTGAATTTGGATTTTCTCCATTGTGAGACAAATAAAGGTTTTCTTATCTTATCTTGAAATGGCCTCGCTCCACCTTAACTCTCAGCTCCTCCGCCCCAACACACCTGCCCGGTGCCTCAGGTCTGCGGACCAGACATTATTAGAGGTACCAAGAACTGAGGCTCAGAGAGGACCGAGCCTTTTCTGTTGCTAGTCCTTCTCTTTGGAATGACCTCCCACGGAGCATTCGGCAAGCCCCCTCACTGGCCATCTTTAAAAAATCGTCTCAAAACTCATTTGTATTCTTTGGCTTTTGACTCAGCATGACTCAGACTTGATTTTAGTTTGACTGTTTTTGTGCTTTCCATTGTCTTTGTTATTCATTTATTGTTTTATTGTTTATTGTTGTATACATGGTATTTGCTCCATGTACAACACCTTGTATACAGCGGTGGATGTTTTAAAGTTCTCGATGAATACAGTTGAGTTGAGTTGAGTTGAGGTAGAATTTACAAAATGACGATCATTTTTACACACCGATTGCCGAACAACAGCAGGAAGATTAAAAACCCTCCACTAAGCTCCGAGTTCCTCTTGTTATTGTGCCATTGTTCTTGTTATCTAGCCAATATCCCACTCACCAAATAAGGCGACGGGAGAAGCTTTGTGTCTCTCAAATGAAGTGGAGCTAGTCGGGTTCAGTCGCAAATAGAACGGAAACGCGGCGGAAACCAGGGGAGGACGCGCACGGGGAAAGTCGGTGGCGAATCAGAATACATTAGAGTACATTAGAATACATTAGAGGGTTTAAAACGCAAGAGTTGAGCAATTTATGCATCTGGACTGCAAAAAGCTTCCGTAATGCTGCGTGAGACATCCCCCGCAACCTACTCACACACCACACGTGGGACATGAGGCACAATCATACAGCTGTCAAAAAAAAAATTGAGTCAAAGAGACGCATTCATATATACACTTATACAAAATACAATAAATTATTTTTTTAACTCTTTTATCAAAAAGTTGGATAGTTCTAATTCAATTCATTCCAAATCGTAAAAATTTAAAATGAACATAATTGATTATTTTATTTGTAAAAGAAACAAATTTTTTTGTGACATCATTCAATGTTCCGGAAAATATCAGATTCAATCTGTGACATAAATGTTAAACAATGTTTGATTTATTTTATGAAACAATTTGTTAATTAACTCAGAATAATGCTATTAAAAAATGAAATTTGTCATTTATTCTTTTATGTGCACAATTTACCTATTTTTATTCATCACATGAAATATTTATTGATCTGTTTGTAAATTACAGAATACAAGTAGTATTTGTAAAATACACTTGTTTACACAGACATTAAACATTTGATTTATTTCACGAAATATTGGTTCTTTAATTCATGATATTCATGATCAGATTTTCTGACAGAAATGAGATACATCATTAAAATTACTGTTTTACGTCAAATGCATTGTACTTATTTAATTCACCTTATTAATGATGCAGTTAATTATTTGATCATACTCACACAATAAACAACTTTAATTATAAATTCAACAACAGTGCATATATTTGTTGTATTTATTAGGCTAAGATGTTAGTCAGCTATAAGTAATTGTATATATTACCATTCTAAAAATGAGAAATATTTATGATGTTTGTCGGGTTAAATACCTGGCCAACTATTGCAAAGAAAAAAAAAAGGTATTCATAGAGTAAAAATAATAATTATAATAATTCATTCATTAAGTGGTGACACAAATGATAAAAAATAAAAGATACACTCATGTCGATTATTATTATGCGTGTAACAGAGCGGTCACAACAACAGCGGAAGGAAAGCAACACCGCACAATGGAACAAAAATGATATCTCCAAATCATAAACGTTTTTCATGAGAGTGATATCATTGTGGATGGAATTATCACACCAAAAAAAAAACAAAAAAAAACCCAGTGCCGAATTTCTCACATAAGACAGCAGAACGTTGTCAGATGCCCCATAAGCTCCACAAATTGCAATCGGATCTGACGAGATTGAATGATGATACAATATAAGCCTCTGAACACATTGGATGGGAGATTCAATGTTCATTTTAAATTGCTGCTAAATCTGGAATCCGATCAGGAAGAAATTTGCCTTCTGATCCTGTATACCGGTGATTCGCAACCATTGTGCCTTTACGCGTAAGAATGAAATGGAGGGGCATTAAAAAAAAAAAAAAAAAAAAAAGATTTGATTCAGAAAATTGGCTTTGATTTAAAAGATGTGAGCGCATTAACTCGAACGGGATCGAATGGCTTCACTTTAAAATGTACTGTCCTTGAATCACATCGCTATGTATATGCTAAAACAGTAACATAAGTTAGAACAATAGAAATTGTTGACATTTACGGCAATTAAAATACTTTGTTGAACTGAACCACTCATGATTTGATCGAAAATTTGTTGCCCCTGAGGGGTTTTTTTGGGCGGGGGGTTTTGTGTATGTGTATCACGAGCACAACATGTATCAAATCATCTTTTATGTGTAACATGCACATCCCAAGTGAATTGATCCGAATTCATTTCAACTTTTAAACTCATTGGAAGCGGGTATCCGAGATGGATGGGCGATGGCAAATTGCGGTGCTTTTTCTGCCTCCGCGCCGTCTTAATGATATCAAATATTAATGATCGTTCTGAGGATTTGCCATGAAAAAGTGGGCGCGAGAGCTCACTCATTGCAGCCCGGATTATGATTCATATTTCCTCATCCCCACTTTGATATGTTGTTGCATATTTTGACTGCCGCCTGTAAATCCAATTTGCCCTCTGAAGATAATGAAAATAAAAGGAAAAGGCACGCCCACGCCCACGCACACACACACATGAACTCATCGCTGTACTACAAAAACCCGCAACTGCCCACGTGCCAAGCAGAAGGCGACATCGCTCGTTTTCCCGTCCCCTCGTTACTGAGGCAGTGACGGCCATTGCGTCATCGCCGTGTTGCTAGGCACGTTTGGGTATTGACGGTATCGGCTCTCGTTTCTCTCACTAAGGCTCAATAACCTCGAGGCCCTGATGGCTATTTGTTATAAAGCGTTTAATGCGGCTGCATCGGTGACCACAAGTGGCACACACAAACACAAACACACACAGAGGCACACACACCACGATGCGTGCGGTCAGCTGCACGCAGACCAAAACGTCATGCGGTATAATCATAATAATAATAATAATAACCTTTCATGTAATGGCCATGTTGGAGACCTACAATGACGATGACGGTTGCCCGTTACAAATAAGGAGACAATAGGTGAGATCATTCCATTGATAGAGATTGATGACGGTAAACCCCGAATTGACCCAGTGGATGCTGATAACTAAGTGAATAATGCAGGGGAAAACAATTTAGCAATAAATCCAACAAAGGAGAGGAATACAGGAGCGTAAATAAAGCATGACAATGGATGAGCTTCATCCATTAGTGTTCCGGTCCAGGCCTTTCTTACCCTCCAGGCTACCGTAGCTCCCCGCGCTTATCTGGGTAATGCAGAAGTGAGTCAAATAGTCATTGTGGTTTTGTGCACCGCTGCCCGCAATACAAATGTCAGACCTCATGGTGACTCCGTGGAGTCATGGCTGACAGGGACTCTTAAATTGGGAGTGGGGAGTGCAGGGATGTGATTGGCGCAAGGAGAGGACAGAGGTTCCAAATCCGAATCCAGAAAGTAAAAAGTGCTTCTACTCAGCCGTCAGGTAAACTTTGCAACAATTCACCATGTTGTCTACATTATTCATTCATTCATTTTCCGCTCCGCTTATCCTCACGAGGCAGGGGACACCCTGAACCGGTTGCCAGCCAATCGCAGGGCACACAGAGACAAACAACCATCCGCGCTGACACTCACACCTTGGGACGATTTTGAGTGTTCAATCAGCCTGCCATACATGTTTTTGGAATGCGGGAGGAAACCAGAGTACCCGGAGAAAACCCACGCAGGCCCGGGGAGAACATGCAAACTCCACACAGGGAGGCCGGAGCTGGATTTGAACCCGGTACCTCTGCACTGTGAGGTCGACGCGCTAACCACTCGACCACCGGGCAGCCTTGTCTAAATTAAAAGAATTTGAAATTCCCCAAAATGCACACATTCCAAAACAAACAAAAAAAATTCAGTAGCTCACAAACAGTTCATCCGTCTTACCTGGACGTCCCGCTCACGTCGGCCTCGGGATGCTCAGGGGCGGGGCAGCAGAACTGATGCAGCACCGTCTCATTTCTGCAAACCAGAGAGGACACTTATTGGTCTGTTTGTTTTGTCAGCGTCCCTCCGACCAGCTCACACCAAAAGATCCGGAAAAAAGAGACTTTCATTAAACTCCTCAGGATTATTTGGCACTGATCCCTTGGTAAATACCCTATGTGGGTCAATTCCGGGCTGAGAATGCTTATAGTGCGTTGATACCAGCGTCCAGATGTTGACACTCACGATGCATCACTCAGGGCTGTGATTTAGCCGTTGTCCCCGAATCAGTGTGACAGATGGTCACTTTCAGCTATTTCCCTCCCCATACAAGTTTCCAACAGTTTTATTCATATTCGAGCTATGATATCTCGGCTAGAGACAACCCCCAAAATACTTTGGAAGGATTGCTTCAGTTTAGTAATCCAGTAGGTTTGCCAGCATTAGCTGTACTTGTAAACAGAGGGGAGAAAAGTACTCACACGGAAGTATCTGTACTTCTACTGAAGTGTACTTGTGCGAAAACAAAAAAAGAAATGCCATCGTCAAAGTAGAAGCTGGGGTGTAAGCGGATACGTTTGCATATTCATGAAGAAGTAACATGAGCTAGTTCGTTCTCCAGCCTTATGAAGTATCCAAGCAGGAAAGGTTTGGGTGAAGCATCAATGTAAATACTTTTGATGGATTGCCTCACCTACGGGATACTGCACGCCTCACACCAAAAAGATGCACTTTTCAGAGACGAGGCACTCTCTCGCCATACATGTATTTTTGTTTGACTGCACTACAAAAGCATCTCATGACCTGCATTCAGCATATTGTATGTGACGCAAAGTCAGAGTGACAGGCAGTCAGAGTCAACGCCAGGACTCACAGTGACAGTCGGAGCTATAAAAAGATTCTTTTACTCCGCAACTTCCACATCCAGAAGGAAACTACACAGACATCCACCCATTTTCAAGAGTGCGTGTCCCGTTCGGGGTGGTGCGTACGTCGAAAGGCGGAGGACCACCCCTGGACTGGTCACTGCAGTCGATTACAGTGTACATACGTTTGACTAACAACCATACACACGTTCATACTTTTGGACAATTTTGAGAATATAATAAACCTAAACATGCATGTTTTTTGGAACGTGGGAGGAAGTCAGCGTAGCTGGAGAAAACCCACACGAGCACGGGGAGAACATGAACATCCCACACAGGAAGTCCTGAACCAAGAATCGAAAATTGGGAGCTTAGAACTGTGACGTGGACATGCTAACTACGACTCCAACATTATATATACCAGTCCTCAATCCATCTCGAGCATTTCAATTGTGAGGATCGAGACCATAAATGTCCAAAGAATGACTAAATGTTCATTCTTTTTTTTTTTAGCTCGAGACCATAAATGTCCAAAGAATGACAAAATGTTTTTTTTTTGCCTTTGAAGTGGAAAAACACAAGTGTGGGTAATACTTACGAGGTAACACGTAGTTTAATGACTAGCCGTATTCCACTTATCTGATCACTGGTAGCACGCAAGTTCATCTGCCTGACTGACTGACGTTAATTAACTTGCTTGATTAAGATAACTCGACAGTGCACTTAACTCATTTTTTTTTTTTTAATTGGCATGTCTCTCAGAGTAGCACCAGAAAGACAGAGATTTAGAAAAATCAATTTTGAGATGAAACCACTGTTTTCAGAGGTTTATAAAGCCCCTTGGGGAGGTCGTTCACGGAGCGTAAATGGCTCGTCTAATCAAGAGGAGACAGCGACAGAAGCGGGAGGGATCTTAAACGTACTCATACAGGAAATGTCAGCTCATGCTGCTGAGGAAGTCAACATGATACATCAGGCTCCATTTTAGTAGACAGCCGTACGTGCGCTCGGCGTAAAAACTGCCACATCTTCATTTTCATGCCTGAGCAAGTCGAGTTTTTAGCAGGTTTGGGAATTTGTCAGATCACGCTGCGCCTCGCTGAGCTTTCCGACGGACCAAGGGTGACAATTTGGTGGCAGAAAGTCGACTAGACTTTAGACCAGGTGAAACCAGGTCTAAATTGTGAGGTGGTGGGTGTAACATGGTTTTGGTGGATTTGATCCAAGAGGTTAGCATTGTTGCTTCGATTAGCCATGAATCGATTTGTGTTCACCCCCACAACGGCGCAAATGATCATGTCTAACTGTGCCTGTCTACAAAAATCCCAAAAGTAAAAAACTACACCCATGTGCAGTACTTTGCACTAGACTTGCACTGGCCACAAAAACAGGGCCCCAAGTGTTTGTTTTTGTTTGTGTTTGTGTATGGTGACCAAGATTGATTGGCTTGTATTGAATCAGCACAAATTTGTCGGTGGTCAGTTGCTGGGCACATATAAATGACAACCGACACTAACATTCACACCAATAGACAATTTTGAGCCTCTAATGAAATGTAAATCACATGCTCATGTCTTGGCATGCAGCTCCTCCTCCAAGTTCCTCTTGCTAGCACAATGAATGTACGTTTGAGTCACTCAACTGTGTGATGTGATCAAATAAGAAATGCTTCTTCAAAGTCTCCAAACTTAACATGCATGCTTTTGGAATGTGAGTGAAATACAACCTGGGGAGAACCCATGCAAGGAGAGCAAAATCATACAAACTCCGAACGAGATTAGAACACAGAACCTCGGATCTGCGAGGCAGACCTGATGGATTTCCTTTGGCCATTTATTTTCGATAGTCCACCTCTCCTGAGCCTGTTTCATCTGATTTGGAGCTTGAGGCGGAGTACAATATGAACTGGTCACTACCCAATCTCAGAGGACATATCAACAAACAAGCATTCAAACTCATATTTACACCTATGAACATTTCATTCAAACTACACATTGGAAGGCCGGAGCTGGTATTCAAAGTTCCAACCTCAGAACTATGAAGTACACGTGCTAACTCGCAGTTGGCGGTGCTGCCCATTTCAGTGATTTCCCGTGGGAGAAATTGAGTCGGCATCCCTTGACAGATCTACCACAGAGATGCCACCGTAATTGGAAAAGCAAACGTTGATCATTAGTGAGGGAATTGTCGTATAAGATCTCAATTCCTGCTCATTTTTTTGTGGCTTTATTTGTGGTCATGGTGGCTGTCTGACACCGAGACACTCTCCCATCCATTTGTTTATGAAAAACCGAACACATAATGGCCTTCCGCAGCCAAGGCGGCGTACAAATAGAGCAGGTGAATATTTTAAGAGTACACGCCTTCTGCTGTCGGCCAGTGTTGCCGTCATGCCTACACGGCCTTGCTCTTTTATACCGCTACTTCAAGTGCAGTATGTTCAGTCATCAGTTGCTTGCCAAGAGGCTCTCTTGCAACTCAGGCTCAGGATGACGCCAGTACATTTTGTGCACCTTCCCTTAACACCACGGGATGCCCCTCAGTCCCTTGGCGTGGACTGTTTGTTCAGAAAAGATAAAGCGAGCCGACAGCTCACCCAAAATGTAGCCCACGCTTCCTTTTCTTCCCTTTCCTGCATGGTCCTCTCCCTGCACCTGAGCTGGTCCACTCCAAAGTCAGCCTCAAGCTCCTTCCGCAAACCTCCTCCGAGGAGGCTTCCATCAAAGAGCGTTACTGAGCGTGCATCTTCTATTTCTCGCTCCCCCCCACCCCCTAAGAATGGCTGATTACCGTTCGCTCCACGGGCTAAGTGGGCCAGATAGGGAAGGCTCAGCTGGAAAGAGAGGGGAGAGAATCCTTTCTCTGAACCTCTTCCTTCCCTGCAAACCCCCCAGGGTGCATACACGTGCACCGGCAACACTGGCAACAATGCAAGATATACAAACACGCTGCCAAAAAAAGATTACACACCAGTCCACGTGTCATTTCGATGGAGACACACCGATAGGCGCATGCCGTGTGTGAGGGCAACAGGCCGCTTCATTAGAAACACCTCGCCACATAATCTAACCCAGAGATTGTCATAAGAAATGTCAATGCCATATTTTCCTTGACAGAGAGGTTTTCATGCATCAACATGTACTGTTGAACTGTACATGTATTGATGAGGTTGGCGTTTGCAGTGGGATAGAAGAAAATCACGCCGGCGGATGTTTCTAATATTTTGGCTACATTTTGTCACTGCAAGAGTGATTTTTGAGTCCTGTGAAAGGCATTATTTATTCAACATAGTCGTAGTTCATGAAGTCCCGTATATCCGTGACAGCGTAAAGTTGTAGTACTAGACGCAAAGTAGCGCAATAGTCATGGTATTAGTAGCAGTAGTAGACAAATAGTAGTAGTAGTAGCCTTGTGGTAGAAATGGAAGTACAGTATAGCAGTAGTAGGAGAATGAAAGTAGTAGTAGCAGGAGCAGACTACAATAGGAGAAGTGTATTATCAGTATTGTCAGGATTAGTAGACTAGTAGTAATATTAGTAGTGTCGTAAAAGATGAGGACAGGTCGGAGTCGTAGACTAAAAGCAGTGGCAATAACAGTCATAGTAGTATTTGGCTGTTTAGTAGTAGTAGTCGTGGTAATAATAGAAGAGTGTAGTAGGATTAGTATATTACCAGAAGTAGTTATGTAGTCAAAGTCGAGGAGTGGTAGTGTCATGATCCTGTTTCTGTTTGTCTCCAGTAGGTGGCGTAAGAGGGCTTTCCGTCATGAGCCACACCTGTTTGTATTCATGCCTCTTTTTACCAGCTGCCTTTAAAGACTGTGCCACGCTGACAATTGGCTGTCTGATTATTATGCTTTTTGTTCACGACTCTGGTTTGTTTCGCATTTTCCTGATAATTTTTTTTTTTACCAGTTTACGTTTGTGGGAACTACTCGGAACATAAAAGGTAGGAGTCATAGACTAGTATGATTAGAGTAATAATACTATAGTCAGAGGTGGAGGAGTAATAGTAGTTATACTTTTATTTTTAATTCATTGTGATGATGATGATGATGATTACAAGTACTGTAGTAGTACAGTAATAGTAATGTTGACGTAGGAGTAGTAGACTACTACCCTGAGTAGTAGTATTGATGGCGAGAAGTAGTAATAGTAGTAAATCACACAAGTCGTAGTAGTCTTTTAGTAGTAAGCAGCGGGAGTAGTACACTACAAGTAAGTGTGTTTTAGCAATACTACAGGACACAATGTTGTTGTTGTCGTTCTCCAGCAGAGTTTGACTGCAACAGAGAAGGACTCTTTTGACACTATATAAAGAAAAATCCTCAACACACTCAAACTATCTCTTTCAAGTGTTGTGTGAGTGAGTGTGAGGGTCTGCTTGACATTTCTTTATTGACAGGTAGTCACTGAGGAAGTGAGTGGCGGAACCCTGTGAGCTTCAAGTGTGAGGCAGAGATTTAAAAAAAAAAAAAAAAAAAGCATGATGTAACAAATGGTGTTAGGGGATTCAAAGCCATGCTGCCATGCTGTCATCTTTCATCCAGAAAATTTTAAAACAAACATTTTCAACTCCCTTCCATTTCCAAGAAACACTTTGAGGGTACACAAGCTTCCATGAGCTATGGATCGACAATGACTAATTGCACTACAATTTGGAATTTATCTATCTATCTATCTATCTATCTATCTATCTATCTATCTATCTATCCATCTAGCTTGCTAGCTAGTGTCAGATATAGGTCTGACACTAGCTAGATAGATAGATAGATAGATAGATATATAGATAGATAGATAGATAGATAGATAGATAGATAGATAGATAGATAGATAGATAGATAGATAGATAGATAGATAGAGTTATTTTAGTTTTTTGCCTCTTTGCATATCGAGAAATAAGATCCAAAAAAAACAACAACAAAAAAACTGTGTCCAGTGACTCAAACCACAATTTTGTACAGCAGCTGTCAAAGTCTGTTAGTTCTACAATTGGCCGCAATTCACCGCAGCACCAGTAAACAGCGCTGAGGTTCATCCAACAGAACAGGTAGATGTATTGTCACGGATATACAGTAGACTGGAGGTGGCTAATAGATATGCCTACAAATGGCAACCATGTTAGCAGGGGCGGCTTTCCCATCAAAGGCCATGCATGGATATATTTGGTGGCCATATTACTTGAGGCAACGGTCATATAAAAGTTACTGGAAAGCATGGACATGAGCTTAGCATCGTGGCAGGCCAGTGGTAGGAAACTCCGTTTCCTCGAGAGCCATATCCTGCCTGTTTTAGATCTCACGCCCTCACTTTTCTGACACCCACATTTTTCATGCTGTTCCCCCACACTCCCATATTTGTTTTAAATAGTGTGGTGGGCCATATCAGTTATTATTTTTAGTATTCTTGTACCTCAAAAATCATCACTTTTCAGGAGACCACCAAAGCGTCACACAGCGCACAGCATTTTTCAACATTTTAGATTGGTCGAGAATATATTTTAAAATATAACACCCACACATGTGGAGTGACCAATGTAATGGATATGTGGAAAATTATACCAAATTGTGACGCCAGCAATATGCAGCAGGGTGCTAAAATATGGATGGCGTGCTGCAAATGGCCCGCGAGACTTTTGACAAATGTGTTATAGAAGCTAAAAAAAGAGTGCCTTCCTCTCATTAGATGATGTAGTGGTGTACAATGATGCCAGGGGAAGTGGTGTGATGGGGGGTGCTCACGTTCACGTGGTGCACGTGGGTCTCATCTAACAGGAAAACATCAGAGGCCCGTCAGTTGCCCCATGAGACGTGAACAAGCCGCACATTCATTAACGGCAAGCAGCAACGTGGACGCACCGCATCACATCACTCGCCAGGCTGCCCCCCCCCCACACACACACACACACGCACACACGCACGCACACAACAAAACACACGTAAGCATACGACACAAACACCTATAGGACCCACATTCACTCATGCATGTACAACACATGCACGAATGCATGCATCACACATACGCCAGCCTGCTACTACTACTACACTCAAACACACACACACACACACACACACACACACACACACACACACACACACACACACACACACACACACACTATAATGCATTACAAATGCAGACACATATGCAAGCATTTGTTATGTGTCTCTCTCTCTATCTAGACTCTAGATAGAGAGAGAGAGAGAGAGAGAGAGAGAGAGAGAGAGAGAGAGAGAGAGACATTCTCACACACACATACACACACACACGCACACACACACACACACACACACACACCACGCAAACTAGTGGATTACACACAAAGGGCACACATTTTAACAACACACATGCACGACATACAGACAAATGCTTCACACAATCACATACATTACAGGCTTATGCATAGCAAATACATAAGCAGGCCCACAGCTGTTTGTTACGTAATGGTCCAGTTTTGCTTTTAAATAATCCACCTCTCTCTCTTTCTCCCTCTCTCTTTCACACAAACACACACACACTCACACACGCGCGCGCGCCCACACGCACGCACACGCACACACATACACAGACATACACACACACACTCACACATGCACAAAATGTTCAAACGTCTTTTTTCAAACTAAGCACCGCTCAATGTGCGTGGAGGCTAATAATGATAATAATTACAATAACATTTTTGGTCAACTACAAAATAAAAGTAATGGGATAATCATGTTGGGATGTGAAGCAATGGTAGATACAGCCCATTTGTATTTTTAATGCATTAATTGTATGCGTATGAACTCACTCGGATGTCTTGGCGAGGGCCAGCGACCGACACAGGGTAGTCGGGGTCATCGGAACCAAGGAGCGGCAGCCGCTGCAACTCCCGCCGTTATCCGGCTCGCTTTCGACCGGTGAATTAGTGGTCGGCTCGGCCGGAACCAGCTGCATTTCCCCCGGGTCCAGAGGCTCCGCGGAAGGAGGAGGGACCACCGCGGCCCCGTCGACTTGTTGTGCCGGTGCAGCCGCTTGCTCCGGCGCGGATCTTGCCGCGGAGATCGTCGCGGAGCTCTTGGTCTGGGGGTCCTGAGCGAGGTGGAGGTGATGGAGGCAACCCACGTCGGGGTGAAGCTGATGGTGATGATGGAGGAGGTGGTGAGCGTAAGCGGGGTAAGGATGCTGATGTTGCTGCACGCGGACATCTCGCAGGTGCCTGTTCTCCCCGATGAGCTCATCCACCCGCCGGTCCAGCTCCTCGATGCGGGAGCGCTGCGTCTGGATGAGACTTTGCTGGTTCTGCACAATTGTGGTGAGCTCCCGCAGGTACAAGATCGCTTGCACCGGATTTTCCAGCAGGCTGGAGCTCATCCTACACACGAGGCTCGGACAATGGCCAGAAAGAGAGGGGCAAAAAGGACGCGGAGGAGAGGGAGGATGTACAGAGACGAGCTCTCCTTGCGATGTTGTTGTTTTTTCGTCTCTTTGAAGGATGTAGCGACAGTGCTCGCCTCCTGCTCCCTCCCTCCTGTCTCCCTCTCTCACTGCGCTGAGGTGCTGAAGAGAGGAACTAGATCCAGCTGTGATGGAAGGGAGGGGGGAGAGGAAAGAGGAGGAGGAGAAGGAGGCACTGATGCGCCATTACGCACAGGCACGATCAAACTTCAGGACAAACACGAACCCTACAGGCGGTGCGACATCAAAGCAGCACCTGAAGGTTAAACATCGGCCGCAAAACGTGCTTACGCATGTTCGAAGGTGACTAAAAAGTACTCACATCGTTAAGTAGACGTGCAGAGTAAAAATAACTCGACTCTGCAGTACAAGTGCATACTAATTCGACTCCTTTAAACATACAAATGCTGAAGTGTAGTTGAAGTCGTGACTTTCGGTTTGTCCCAGGGGTCGCCACAGCGAGTCACGGACATTGTTTTGTTTTGTTTTTTTACCCTACAGATTTTTCGCTGGATCCCCTTGACGCATTCTACCCATTTTATATGGCCTTGACGCCAGCAGTGGCTTGGTTTTAGGACATTGACCTGTAAGGGAGCAACATGTCGGCGCTGAAATAGATTTAAGGACTAGAAAGTAACAAGTAAATATATGTATTCTTTCAATATAATATAACAAACAATAAAGTACCACAACTACAGTAATGTGGTTACTTTGCCCGTTTACCAACCAGAAAGAGCCGTACATTTCCGTGTGTAATTAAATGCCACAAAGATTATCGTCCAGGTATAACAAATCACGTGACACGTAGACGCTGCGGACATTGTTTTGTTTTGTGTTTTTACCCTACAGATTTTTCGCTGGATGCCCTTGACGCATTCTACCCATTTTATATGGCCTTGGCGCCAGCAGTGGCTTGGTTTTAGGACATTGACCTGTAAGGGAGCAACATGTCGGCGCTGAAATAGATTTAAGGACTAGAAAGTAACAAGTAAATATATGTATTCTTTCAATATAATATAACAAACAATAAAGTACCACAACTACAGTCATGTGGTTACTTTGTCCGTTTACCAACCAGAAAGAGCCGTGCATTTCCGTGTGTAATTAAATGCCACAAAGATTACAGTCCAGGTATAACAAATCACGTGACACGTAGACGCTCAAGTGAAGTGAGAATTGTTTTGCTAACCGAGTTTTGACCCTCCACATACATGGGCTGGAACTTGTAAGAACGTGAGTTTTTTTATCTCCTTTCCAGTGTAACTATTATGTCGCCTTTTCCACATGCATCTTGATTCAACTGCGAAAAACATTTCCGAAGGTAACTGAACGCAACATGAAGAATCGTGAAGTCACACGGCACGTCGACGCGGAAGTAAACCGACCGTTGTTTTGCTAGTGCTGTTAGCCTAGCGTTTTTCCATATACAAATGTGTTAGCAATTACACAAAATCAATGGTCAGGTAAGGAATTTTGTTTTTCATATGGCGCAGTTTTCTAATTGTTTTTGCAATGTGACTGTTACGGCGTTTCTTTCCAATTGCTGTAAAGTGCATAAGCTTTGATCGTCACGATAGTGTAAAAAGACTATAATATGAATGAACGGAATCTTATGTTTTTAATTCTTTCAATATGAGTGTGTATTTCCCGTTTAAACGTTCGATTATGCATTTAAAGGGTTGACATACTGAAATACTCTTACGGGATCATGTGTTGTTGCTGCTACAGTCATGTGAGAGTCAGTTGAGTGCGAATGCTAATGAAATGAGCTGATGAACTCAATGTGCATTTCCCTGAAGACTCGTACTTGCTTCTGTCGCAACTAAAACACCCACACATGAGCACTTCGTAGGGTTTCCACGCTTAACATTAGGTCAGGGGCAAGATGTCCCGAATTCCCACCGCACGCAGCCCGTAAACAAACATTATGTAGCTCAGTTTTTTGCAAGACTGTACGTCAAGCTTGTTGACTCAAAAATCTTCACATGAAAGTGAAAATATGTACAACATAAGGGGAAAGCGGAGTACCAGCCCAACTTTCTGTGGCATGTGAACAGGCTCCCTCGGGCTTTTTAGACAGAGCAAAAACAGTAGCAAAATCCATTACTTGTGTTGTTTCTGTAATAATTAATGCTGTTCTGTTACTGCCACACAGTGTCTGCATCCTTCATTATCGAACGAGAAAGTGTTAATGTTTCACATACCTTCAAAGAAAAGATTTAGCCTGCTGTTTCATTGTTGATGTCATTAAATCTGTTCTTGTTGACACAAAAGATAACGTTTTGTGTGTGTTTTTGTGTGTACACATGCATGCGAGCATTTTGGTCCCTTACTATACACATTGTACCGTGAGCTTAATACAGTATCTCATAAAAGTGAGTACACGTGTAGTATGTATTATGTATTTTTATGGGGCAACACTGAATTAATGACACTTTGTAAAACCATTAAGTAGTGAGCCAATTTACTGTCCCCTTAAAATAACTCAATACACACCAATTCATGTCTTAAACACCTGGCAGCAAAAGTGAGTACACTGATATGCGAAGATATCCATTTGGGCCAAAGTGTCAATATTTAATGTGGTCATCATTATATTCTAGCATTGAGTTAGGTGGGGATATAGCCAGAGCTTTTACATAGAATATACATACAAATATAGTATATGAAGGATGTACTCCATTTTCTGATATACTTTATGCATCTAACCGTGATTTTGGGCACACCCTTTCACACCTAAGCTGGTGTGCGTGTGTGTTGTTTTACTGTCATAACCAGGTAACATGAAACTGAGTGACCCATGTTGACTTCACCTCTGGTTTGTTTTACCCTTTGTAATGCAGGATGACCCAGAAGCTCTGCCTGGAGGGTCAGGTGTACTCAGTGCCTCTCATCCAGCCAGACTTGAGGAGAGAGGAGGCTGTTCACCAGATAGCAGATGCATTGTTCCTCCTGGAGACCATCTCTACTGACATCTTTAGGAGGTAAGCTCCACGCAATTTAGCATACAATTCTCAACATTCAAGTTTCAGGAACTCGGTTTCTAAAAAGAATTGAGATTTTTTTTTGGCCTCGTGTGGTGTTTATAGAGTGTCCGAAAGTGTCGAGAAAAATCGCTGCCACCTGCAGAGCGTCAACGACCGGATCCGACTGGTTCAGGCTCGTGTTGACCGGATCAAAGGCAGTAAAAAAGCCACCAAGGTAAAGTCGAAACAAATGGAAAAACACACTCTTGAGTTGGGGAGACGTGACTGTAAAGCTGACTTCTTCAGTGGCGTTGGAAGAGAAACATCCGACGCCATAGTATTGAAATCTGCTCAACCTTTAGTTAACGAGAGCAATTCATTTTTCATTGGATTTATTACATGCAGGACAAACACTTTTTTTTTCTGAACATTCTGAGCTGCTATGCCACAAGGAGCCATTATCCTCGTCACACACCCCAATCTTTTTGCCTGGTTGTCATAGAAACAATGAAAATAGACACCTGGAAAATGTTTCAAGGAGTGGGGTAGACCAGATTAAATGTCTCCTTTAAAAAGTTCTCTTTTTCTAGGTTTTCTCCAGTGCCAAGTACCCGGCCCCAGACCGACTGCAGGACTACTTGTCTATCTTCACCGGAGCCTCCGACCCTTCATCACAAGCCCGCCCTCGACATAGAATACAGAACAAACTTCGACCCTTTGATGAGAAGACTTTACAGGTCATCTTCCTATTTTCCCCAAATGTGAATGTGACTGAGTCTGCGATGAATTCTATTAGATTATGATGTGACACAGCAGTTAATTTCCAAAATACAACTGCCACACCGAGTTTCTCCGCCCATGATTTGGAAACTAGGCTGGGTGAGGCTTTCTCATTTTCAAGCGATAGATGGACTACGCGATGATGTCTATCATGTCAAAGCCAAAATAAGTAAAGCTGTAGTGTTGTTTGGATGTGCAGATTGGTGTTAATTTCTGATAAGCGGCACATACGAATGTTGAGTTAAGTTGTGAACATGGTGGTTGGGAATTGTTTGGGAATGTGTCCGTTGCATCTAGACGCTCAAAATGACAAGTATAAGTTGGTGGCTTGGTAATTAAGTGCTGCCATCAGGAGTGAAAAAACAATCCATGTTTGTTTATGGGGGCTCACATGAACACAGCAGTTTGTGCTTGCTTTGTTTTAAGTAGCTTGGTCCCTAGTTGTCATGGTAATGAAAGCCATACTCGGGGTCTGAGCGGTGGCTTTTTTGAACTCCCTCTAAACAGGCCGAGTTCAACAAGGCTCTAAAGACAGTGAAAAGTACCGGTACTACAATTCCTGATGTTGAGACACCCGGGAACTGTTTTAAATTGGGAGCAAAAATGCACAATATGTCTCTCTAGACAAAGCGCAATATCAGTGAACTCCATTTGCCATTTAAGAAAAATAAACACATACAGTGTTTCCATCGGTAGCACTGCTTTGTTTTGTAATAAGATTTTTCCAAGTGTCTTGTCTCGAGACAGAAGAAAACACATTGTGCAATTTCCTTTGGTGCACACATGCATTATTCAGTTTCCCACATGGAGAAACATCTGTTTCAGTTCTGCCTGCATTTACCTGGACTTTTCCAGTGAACCTTCACAACTTACAGGGGTTTGGAACCAAGCTCTGACCGAAATGGCAACAATTTTGCGATTCCTTGCCTCCTAAAAATGTTTCAAATTACGAATATTAATAGTTTCAAACGAAGATATACTTCAAACTATGGTCACAAAACACTTTTATAATTCGAACTCATCTTACATTAGCTTTAAAAATAAATAGCTTATAGATTTTTTTAAAAATTTGATTGAAGTGTGAGGACGTTGGGGTGTGTTGCCGCTTTACAACGCTTAAAAGTACTATTCCTTCTTTCCTATTCCCTATTTTGTTATATTTTTGACTCTGTGACAAATATTATCATTTATAAATACCTATTTTGCAAACAACTTTTTATCTTTAGATTCCAAAATTAGTTTCCATGACCTTTAGAAATACCTCGTCTTAAGTTAGCTTCCAATGTCACCATCAGTTTTAGAGCTAAGGAAGGTCCATGTTAGCTTCCAAAGTTAGCACCAACGTAAGCTTTCAAAGAATGCTCCAATGTTAGCTCTCAACATTAACTTCAACAAAAGCTTCCACCATTAAATTCCCAAGTTAGTTTCCGTTGTTACCTCTAATGTTAGCTTTCCATGTTAGCTTTCAGCATTGAAAGCTAGAGTTAGCTTCTACAGTTAGCTTCCAATGTTAGCTTCTAGGTTACTGTTCGGTTCAACATTAGCTTCTGCAATTAGCTCCCATGTTGGCTTTCAATGTTGAAGATTATTATTTAAACAATAAATAGCATTGAAAGAGCAAAGGAAGCCTAACGTTGGCCTCACACATTAGATTTCAAAGTTACTTCCACCATTAGCTTTCAAATTGTATGATTAAAAAGAAAAATACTTGTTAAACTTTTACTTTCATGTTTTTTTTTTAACTTTCATGCTATGACATTTTCTGGAATAAAACATGGCAAAAAAAAATATGGCTAACGCGAGCTACTTCAACACAGACATGACACTTTAAAAGTTGCAGGGTGATTGGGTGTTGTAGAGAGGGCACAAAAATTTGCAATAATATTTGTTTTTCATCAAATACTTCAATAGGTTCTACAGAAACATTTGCTCATGGAATTGATAAAAGTCACCTCATCTTCCATTGTTTGTCTCCCTGGCAGGAGAAGCTGGTCTACTTCCCTGTGTGTGCCGGCAACAAGAAGAAGTCAGAGGATGAGACGGAAGAAGGGCTGGGCAGCCTGCCACGTAACATCTCCTCCGTCAGCTCGTTGTTGCTCTTCAACACCACCGAAAACCTGTGAGTCCACGTGCACGCACACATGCACACACGAACAGTCATGAAGTACCGTAAATACTCAAAAGTACAGAGAACTGAAAAAATCCACTTCAGTACAGAAAAAAAATATTTGTCCCGCATTTGCATCACGTAAGCACATAAAATACAAAACACATTGTTTAATTCCCTCCTTCCATTATGTGTTAAAGCTACAAGAAGTACGTCTTCCTCGATCCTCTGGCGGGAGCTGTGATCAAGACGCACATGACCATCGAGACAGAAAAAGAGGAGAAACCTTTTGACGCTCCATTGTCCATCACAAAGAGAGAGCAGCTTGAGAGACTGGTAACTTAGAACAGCCCTTTTCCCAGAGTATTGGGACGCCCTAACCATCAAATCGAATGGCTTTTTTTTTTTTTTTAACTCTTGCTCATCCAAAAATGCCTTCATGGACCTTGGTGAAGGAGCAGTGTGTCACTGAAATCTTGTCTGTTGTAAAAAACGTAGTCTTGGGATGGATTTACGCTGGAGGTAGAAGTGCCCATTTCAAATTTAATGCAAAGTAGATCCATGTTTTTATTAATGGTCGATTTCCGTGAGGATTTCTCGTGACGCATATCCCATATGGCTGTGTTTACACTGAAACACATAAACAAACTCCACATGCCTACTTTAATCATATAAATATTCAATGATACATAGCATTTATGTGGACTGGGCAGAAACTCATTTATGTATAAAATCAACTTTGCCTATTGATATAAATGGAATTGAAATGAACGGTGGATGCCATTAATCTTGTAACCTGGCCAATTGGGAGCAAAATTCTTCCCGTTCTTGTGTCACTTCAACCATATAATATAAATCCAGGATGATATTTCAAAGCTGTGCTTTGAAGATGGTCGACGATGTTTTGACAGACGGCAGAGATCCACATGCCTACTTTAATCATATAAAAATATTCAATGATACATAGCATCTATGTGGACTGGGCAGAAACTCATTTATGTATAAAAAAACTCCACATGCCTACTTTAATCATATAAATATTCAATGATACATAGCATTTATGTGGACTGGGCAGAAACTCATTTATGTATAAAATCAACTTTCCCCATTGATATAAATGGAATTGAAATGAACAGTGGATGCCATTAATCTTGTAACCTGGCCAATTTGGAGCAAAAATCTTCCCGTTCTTGTGTCACTTCAACCATGTAATAAATCCAGGATGATATTTCAAAGCTGTGCTTTGAAGATGGTCGACGATGTTTTGACAGACGGCAGAGAACTACTTCTACGTGCCAGACTTGGGTCAGGTGCCAGAGATCGACGTGCCGTCATACCTGCCAGACCTGCCAGGCATCGCCGACGACTTGTCCTACAGCGCCGACCTGGGTCCTGGCTTCGCCCCGTCGGGACCCACGCACATCATTCCTGAGCTTCCGGCCTTCTCGGAGGACAGCGCAAGTATTAAAATAGTCGGAGAAAGTGTGAAACCAGCCAAAGTGTCCCTTGACTGACCACATCCTGTTTTAGGTGAGCTTCACCCTAGTGTTCTCCCTCCTCCTCCGCCACCGCCACCACCACCTCCTCCTCCTCCTCCTCCTGCACCTGACACTGCCGCAGGTCCACCTCCTCCGCCACCCCCTCCGCTGCTTCCTGCTGAAACCACTTCAGACGGAGTCGAAGTTCCAAGTTCAGGTTTGCCAATCATAAAAGAAAGATGAAAAATAATGCTCAAGCGGAAAAAGCTTTTTTTATTGCCAGAATGTGAAAAAAAAAATTACATCCCAAAAAACACCCCCTTGATTATTCTTTTGTCTTTTTTTAAGACTATATCACCCAGCCCTAATCAAGCTGTATGGGATCAAATGAACCATTCCAAACACTCCCTCACCTTTTTTCCCCTGACTCCATAGGCCCAGTTTCTGGGGCACCCAGCGAGGTGGTCCAGCCTTCAGACGGCCGAGCCAGCCTCCTTGAGTCTATCCGCAATGCTGGCGGCATTGGCAAAGCCAAGTTGCGCAACGTCAAGGAGCGCAAAATGGAGAAGAAGAAACAGAAGGAGCAGGAACAAGGTGGGAAGGGGGGGGCATGTTTTATTCACGGCGACACCAAAGGCAGCTTTTAGCGTCGCCAATGTGCAATTGAGAGTGAAGTGTAACCGGCGAGCAAACTCGGGTTAGTGACGTGAGTCGCTCTCGTTGTTCCCTTTTGTGGTTATTACAATAATATTTCAATGAGAAGCGTAGCCAAAAGTTTGCGAAGAAAATAACCACACTGTCTCAAAGTAAAACTAAGAACAAACACCTTTTTACCGTGATGTCATGCGCACCACTAGCAAACGACGTCTCTTATCAGAGTCAGACAATCGCTTAACAAATGCTACTTATTTGTCATCTCTGAGCAGTCGTAGCAGGAACTACCGGTGGGGACTTCATGTCCGATCTCTTCAACAAACTCGCCATGCGCAGGAAAGGTACACAAAAAAACGCAAGCGTAATGCCTATTTGGCGGAGATGAAAACGACCCATCCTCTCTTTCTTCAGGTATTTCTGGGAAGGGCCCGGTTGGCGGGGATTCAACCGACCCCCCCGCCGGCACCGGAGGAGCGTTTGCAAGAATGTCTGACGTCATCCCACCGCTTCCCGCCCCGCAAACGGCGACAGATGATGACGACTGGGAGGTCTGAAGAAGTGGACAGTGAAGATTTAATGTACAGATAATTAGGGTTGGGAAATTTTCATTTCCAACTTTGAAAATTGTCTGCAATTTTGCAACTCTATGAACAATACAAAAGCACTTAATAGTTTATTACAGAAAGAATGTACCAAACTAGATTATATAACATTTGACTGTAAAATGGTGTCACTCGTGTACAAGTTTCAGAATTTTACCACGAGTAGCGATGCTCGTGAGCCGTCGACGCATTTCGCTCACACGTTTTTCTCTTCAATAAACCAATGTTTGCATTACGTAACAATGCACCTTCAATATTTAATGTGGCAAATGAAAGCCGTGCAGCATTGTCGCCGCTTCAATAATTCAGTTGGACACGCAGCAACTAGTAATGTTGCAACAATGTTGCAGACTCACAGTGAATAGAAAAAGTCTACACACCCTTGTTCATATGCTTTTGGTGAGACCAAGATAAATCATTTAAAACCTTTTACCCTACAACTCATGCGACCTGTACACCTCAACTGAAAAACATGTGGAAGCTTTTACGGTGGCAAAGTAAAAATAAAGAAATGAGATAATGTGGTTGAACAAGTGTGTGCACACTTTTATAACTGAGGGGCTTTGTTCAGACAATTCACATTCATTCAAATTCATGAGTCAGCATACACCTGCCAGCATTTCAAGTGCCTCTGATAAACCACAAAAACATTGCAGTGGGCTTTTCCTGACACGTTTGTTGTCAGATCTTACAGCATAAGCTATGATGTGCAGAGCTTCCATAGCATCATAGGGATCTTGTTTTTCAAAGGTTTAAGTCAGGAAAAGGGTACATTTCTTTTAAATAAGAATAGGACAGAAGAAGACATCATTAAGTAGAGAAAATAAGGCACCAAGAACTGGATGTCCTACCAAAACCATCCAAAGACGAGAAGAACACTGGTCAAGGAACCCGACGGCAACATTGAAGGGGCAGCGGGAATTTCTGGCAAATAGTGGCTGTGAAGGACATGCAACACCAGAATTGCAGTCCTCGGAATCTAGTGCGGGTTAAAACTAGTCGACATTTTGCTTCTTCTCCACAAAGAACTGAAAAGGAAGAACATTGGACAATGAGAATGAGTTGATTGTAAATTGAGACCTAATTAAGTCCCGCTACCTTGACTTTCAAGTTCATTTGATCAGTAATTCAATGGTCCCCAATGAAATAAACTGAAATAGCATGCATTGTATCAAAATGTCATTCAACAAAAATAAAAACAAGGGTTGCGGTGTGTAGTGAGTGACTGTAGGATCTGGTGTCGGGTTGGCCAGTTATTCTGCGTGTTGGTGTCTGAGCGTAAGTAGTGGCCTGCAGCAGCTCCTCAATTTATATTTCCCCCATTCAATAAACGGATGAATATGCACTGGCGGCCATGGCGCTCTTTGACCACATGTAGAGGCATTACTCTATGTGACACAAAAAAAAAAAGTTTTGGCCCCCCCTAGAGTAAGTCAAGTGACCCCTGTATCTGCCTGCTCCTCACCTTCCGCAAGGCAGCGAATCCGGGGCCGAAGCTTTGGTGCGTGCTGGTGCGACTCCGGATCCACGCAGGAAGTTTTGTGAGGGTGGCGGGACGGGAGTAGCGTCGGTCGCACAGCACAATGGAAGAGTAGTCACTACGGTGACGGATAGCTCTGCCTTTTCAGGTGAGGAAAGAAAAACTCTTGTTGTTGATGACAAACAAGTTGAATGACTAGTGGAGACATCAAATGATTTACCATACCTATTGATTGATTGACAGCCTTCATGCAGAGATTTTCTATGAGTGCTTGGCCCGGGCTCTTCCCCCCGCTGTGAGTCTGGAATATTCCAAGGTTTTAAAGGAGGCATACATTTTCATCCCAATTCCAAAAGCCATTCCGAAGTGTCTTTTTAAAAAGCCATGAAGAAATGTCATGTTAAAAAAAATACATGTAAATGGAAAGCAGGATGGTGTCTTACCAGGTGTTTGTCCAGGTACGACATCTTTTCATGCAGTTCCGGTGATTTGATATTTGGATAAGGCATTCCCACCATCACCACACACCTGGAAGTCATAAGTACATGAGACAAAAGTCATCTACATAGGGCTGAACGACATGGCTTGAACAAAATCTCAATCTTATTTAGAATTTTAACTGATTTAGCTGGGATAGAAATATCTATCTATCTATGAAAAGAGAGAGATCGAGATCATTTTACAAATAATTTATATTCGGAAAAAGGCCCCCTTTGGCATGTATGTAAACATGATCCTTGGTAGATTTTTTTTTTGTTTCATGGAAAAACTTGTTGACCTTTATTTAACCAGGTCAAAAGCTTATTGAGATTGACAATCTCTTTTGCAAGAGTGACCTGTCTTCCCAAAGCACATACCTGCCGAGGTCATCAGAGAAATTGATGCCCTCGCTCATCTTTCCGCCCACCACGGAGAACAGCAGTGCCCCCGTTAGGCTGCCGCCTCCTTGCTGAGTGCATCTCTGTTAAGAGACATGACATTTATGGACATGGTGTACAGTGATGCCAGTTTAACTCGTTCAGTGACCATGCTTGTAACTCAAATCACTTGTAACCCAAACCAGCTTTCCACTTTGAAATTATTTGAAGTCCACAATGCCAATCCCGAATTGAATGAATTGAGGGATTCTCCAGAGGTCAATCCTGGGACCCCTATTAGTCAGTCTGTACATGCTTACATTGGACTACACAGTACGCAGCTATAAAGTGTCCTACCCCTTCTACTAAAAATTCAAGCTTTTATTCAATTGACGTTGTGTAGCTGCTTCTTCTGGACACTCGCTTTCTAAGGAACTACGATTAAAAAAAAAATAATAATAATAATTTGTCACAACAGCTACACAAAACTCAACTGAACCTGTACTTTCACTGCTAAACCACATGAACTAAGAGTGGCTAAATGATTGAAAATTTGCTGCCCCCATTTAGTGGCAAAATGACTGAAGTACTGTCTACTTCAAAGTCAAACTTTGGCTTGCAACACAAAGCAAAAACAGACCAAAAAAATGGCTGCGATACAGCTCATAACTCCATTAACTGGGTACCATTGTTCATATTCAGCAGGATTCCACATGTGAGTATGGCAAATGACTGTTCTTCACCTGGATACAACGTGAGAACTCGCTCAGCACTTGCTCCACCTGGTTGGCCTTCTTGGGCTCCTGGAATATCTGAAGAAATCAAATTTGGCTTTAAGATGAGAAATTTATAAGGAACCTCAAGCGGATTGTTTTACTTTTTTTTCCCCTGATGCAGTGGACGTCCCCAGAAGTCATACAATTTGGTCAAACAAAAGCAAACGAAAAGCCAGAGCATAATTTATTTTGATAAAATGTAAAAATGTGAAACAAAACAACACCTTTTAATGAAGGTTTATGAAGGCAGCTTGACTCTTGAACAAAGCCTACCTTCTTCTTGTTGGCAAGTCGGGTCAGAACACCGGCAGACTCCCAGTGGGCCACAACGCGCCTCGAGTACTCGTATGAGGGGAAGAAACACACCACACCACCTGGCACCACGTTGCAGATGTTTGAGAGGATGCGGCCCGTCTCGTCCATCTGTCATTAAGTACAACATGTTTCATAAAAATTACACATACTGCAGCCTTGATTTAAACAGCAGGGCCATGTGCCTAATTTCGAATTAATGTTTGTATCCGATTGTCTCCTCTCTTTCATATACATTTCAAGAGACATATGTCCCATATCCAATACCTACTGGATTTTAATCATTTAGAAGAGCTCTGATCCCAATCTGAAGATATCAAATTCCATTTTTGTTCTCCTTTTGCCATGACACATAATTGTCCCACTTGAGAGGGAAAAATGTGTTGTGTGTGCATGTTTGAGTGTTACCATGCGAGGAGAGTCTCTGTTTTGGTATGTGAAATCTAGCTCCTGACCGGATGGACCGCTGCACAGGACAATGGGGAGGATGTTCTCAGGTGGAATGACATGGCCTGCAAAGACAAAAGAATGGAACATGAAATAACATAAACAAACAAAAATAACAATAATAATAAATAATAATAATAATAATCAAATAAAAATGGTGACCTTAATTTAATATATGGAAGCGCATTTGAAACCATTTAAAATCAGTTTCAGCATAATGGTGTCAGGTCTCGTGCTTGAATAAAATTACTGTATCTGCTCCAACAGTGGCTTCTATGCTTTTATTAGACACTCGATTCTCTGTCCCACGCAGTGTCAATTTCTATTCTTCTTTTGCAACAAAATAGCTTATTTCCATGCAGTTTTACTGAGATGTCACGACATGATCTAGTCATCAGGGTGCAACCAAGAATTTTACTATGCCTGGCGTAAAAACATGCAATAAAACAACCCTCTTTCAGAAAAATAGAATGGGATGAGCCAAATGTTTATTGCCCTATATTAGTTCACCTCTCAAACAAGAGCTCAATATTGAGCGATGTTGCCCTCAAAGCTCTTAAAAAGTATTGATTTGATACTCATGAGGACAAAGGAGAATCCCTCCGCATACTAAACGCGCTTTTACTGTCCTTTGCTACAAAAGCAGAAATAACGGCAAAGCCGTTACGGATATTTAGCAGAGTGGCCGTGATGCCAAATGGGGTCCCACTTACCACAGGAAAACTCGGCGATGCGCTCTTCTCGCACTCCGGCGGAAAACAGCAGCTCTTGTTTGAAGTCTGACACCTGCACAGAGCAGCTTTCAGTATCAGGGGAAATCAGATTTTTGTCATTACAGTGAACCCCCGTTTATTGTGGGCTATACGTTCCAGACTCACCAGCGATGAATAAAAATCCTGGTGGGGCCGTGTAGAAAATGTTGAAAAGAAAATTTTGGACTTGACTTCCATTTTCAAAACACATTTTTATCCTATGGCTTTTGACTCAGCACGAGACTCAGCATTGTTTTAGTGTTTTATAGTGCTGACTGTTTTTGTGTTTACTGAGTTGTTGTTGTTTGAACTGTCTTTGTTATTGTATGACTCATTTTTTCTCCACGTACAGCACTTTGTATACAACAATGGTTGTTTAAAAAGGCTTCATAAAGTTAAGGTGAATACTGTAAAATCCTGTGAATTACACACAGCCGGCTGTGTATTTTTTAAAAATCCCTATGATTAAGGTCTTTCAAAATATTTTAAAAATCATGTTTTCCAAAATCTTGTTCTTGCACTGTTTCTCTCTTAGTAATTTTACTTTCAATTTCTTTACTTTTCTTTTAAATCTCTAACTTCTTTTAAATGTACTTTGAATTACAATATGTGAAGCATATTGAGTTACTTTGTGTATGAAATGCACTATAAATCAGTGATTCTATTTTTTTTTTACAACCTATAGGTCGTGCCTAGGTAGTGGTAAACATATAAACAATATGAATTTTTGTTTCTTATTAAGCGTCCTGTAAAATGCCCCCTGCCATGAATTTTTTTTTTTTTTTTGCTCAAGAGGAACTCACAGGCTGCATGGTTCCTCCCGCGATGATGACGGCCCTGCACTCCTTCAACACCTGGGCAAAGTGGACAGCCGGGTTCAAGAGAAGGAACTTGACGCTGCTCTCCGACAGATTTCCTGCACATTTGCACACTTCAATTTACTATTGGTGCCTTTACTGACCTTGTTTATAGTGCTGTGAGTTTAAGACAGTACCTTGTCTGTGTATAACCACCCGGCCGTCAGTGTTGCTGTTGGTGAGAGCCATGAAGAAGCCCTCTACTTGCATCATGGGGGAAGCGGCCAGTGCCTCTGATGACCCCTGTTGGTCATTTGGCGAAGCTGCAGACAAGAGGAGCTGAATTACAAACTTGAGAAGGGAAGTTCTATTCATCAGTTATCTGTAATGCGTGTCCTTATTATGTCTGCAAATCAGGTGGAGTCTATCCTAGCAATTTTCCATAATAAGCCCCGTTTTGACCCTGAATTTAACAATCTTGCGATCATATTTGTTGTCGAACTGCATCAAATACAAACACAGCACATTTGAATTTGATCCGGTGTCGTTCTACACCAACAAGTGTGTTCAAGCAATATTACGTCGTTCTATTCGACAAGCGTCTGATTTCCAACCTGGTGCCGTGCTCTGGGTGCCGTGCAGGGACTGAAGGTAGCGGTTCAAGCCCTCCGTGCGCCGATTCTCCTTATTGGAGCCAATGGGAGTGTGCGGAGTCACGCCCGAACCCACATATTTCTCCACAAAACCACCTAGCTGTGGAAAACAAAGCAGAGACCATTGTGAGGTTGTTTTTTTTTTTTTTTTTGCAATTGCAGCACACAGAACATCACTCCCTGCTGTCTTACTTTTCTGCTGATCATGCTCTTCTCAAAATATCTGTGCAGCTAGCGAAACAAAGAGAAAGACAAGTTTTAGGTTATATTATAGCAAAGTTGATCAATTACGCAATATAATGTATTGACTCATACTCAAACTCATCATTCTCAGTTTGAGTTGTGTTGAAACGCATTCACCGGCCTGAACAGCTATATGCAAATTTGGATTTTAAAAATATATCACAGTGGTGTCTTGACTACATACCTAAAACTGGGTTTCTCCATTGAAATGAATGGACAGGCTTTTAATTTGTTCCTTTTTAATGTGAAAAATAACACTCTGCAGTGTTGTACTTCATAAAAACATACAGCAATAACAATTAAATAGAATCTAAAGAAAGTCACAACTGCTCAGTAAGCCGCAGCACTATTTGAGGTTTTTCGCAGAAGAAAAAGAATATTCCTGTGTGTATAGTAGCTGTCTACATGTGTTTCTGCACCATTTGTGGTTAAATATCTGTTGCCTTCAGGGTTATCACATGACAACATCGATGCTAATTTCGTTATCTCCTTCATAGCATTCTGCAAATAGTGTGAAGATTTCATCAGAAAAAATGTTTTGGGGGGGAGGGTTTCCCCAAACCTGTTGTGTCTTTGATTCTGCACATCTACATAATGAAGCAGGTGGAGATAAACAAATAATACATAAAAAATATATTTTTGAAAAAAATATTCACTATATTCAAGTTTCAATGCTTTAACGATTACCTTAAACAAGTTGATGTTGTCAATTTGAGCTCTGAACAGAAAGTTGTTGATGGTGAGCATCTCTGTTGCTGAAAAAAAAAAAAAAAAAAAAGAATTCATGATCAAGTTTCTTACAGATTTTTGCCTGTGTGTGTGTGTGTGTGTGTGTGTGTGTGTGTGTGTGTGTGTGTGTGAATGTTGTCTGACCTGCTTCCGTGGTTTGGCTCTGTGGATTCTGACCCACCTTGCCTGAGAGGATAGGATTTACATCACAGCACCGTTCGCCAAACGAAAAATAAATGCTTTCACTCACCTCCCAGCACTCGCACCAACCCCTCAATCACAAACAGAACTTGTTTGATGTACATGACATTCTTCGCCTTCAGCCGGCTCCTGATGAAGAAGAAAAGGAGACATATTGTGGATTAATTGTGGATAAGCTCACAAAGTTGATTTATACCAATTTGATTTTCGATAATAATACCTTGAATGTTCATATCTAAATAACGGCGACAGGATACCAATATTTCACCCAGCCCTAATCTTTGCCTAAACTAGCATCAAAATTGTGGGTGGAGAAACTGTGTGTAGGGGCGGGATGGTGTCAAAAAACATGCTTGTGACATCACAATGTGGGAAAAATTAATCATTTTAATTTTCCATCATACGTCTCCTTTAGTTAAGAAGTACAGATGTCAAAGTTACTCACCTGAAGCGCTCAGCATATTGGCTGAGCTGCGAGTGAGCCCGGCAAAGCTGTAAGTGACAATATTAGGATATCTCAGGTCGCATACAGTACATTCACAAAAAAAAAAAAAAAAAAAAAAAAAAAAAAAGTTGGGTACACACTGTGTGCAAGTAGTGCGTTTACCTGCGCACCGCTGAGCTCTGCACTGTGTATGCAGGAGAGTGTGTCACTCAGGTTGTGAGCTTCGTCTATGATCAACACCTGTTTACAAACACATTCTACTGTCGCCAATGCACCACTTCATTACTGCTGTGTGTGTGTGTGTGTGCGCGCGCGCGCGCGCGCGCACACACACACACACACTTTTTTTTTCAAAACACACCCCTTTTCAAATTTAAAAAAGGATGTGTACACTTTTTAAATCCTACATGGAATCATCGCATTGTCGTTTTAATGTTAGGTATTGTAAAACGGACATACTGTATTCTTGATAATCTTGTTGACTACCTGGTCCTTCAGCTGAATCCCTGCCGCCCGCCTGGTGGCTTCATGCAGCACCATCTGATAAGGCAACACCACCAACTGCGCAAACAAAAGCAACGCAAGCAATTCAGCTTCTGGACAAATAAGACCTGAAGTCCCTGAATGAGCAATGAGAGGAGGAAGAGGATGACAATGTTGAGTACAAACCTGTGCCGGTGGGACAGCAAGGCGTGTGGCGTAGTAGGGACACGAATGGCTTTCCTTGCCCAGCTTCAGAAGTTGCTCGATGTCATGGACGCTGCCCAGGAGCTCGTCCCGCATCTGTTGCAGCGCCGAGATCTTGTTGTACGGACAACCACTCTTCGCCGAGCCTCGTTTCCTTTTAGCGTCATCGTCGTGATGTGGCCTTTCTACAAATGACATACCATTCTTGAAAGCAGTGGTACGAATTAACCAAGTTTTGTTTTCTCCCTATTGTGCCAAGTTATCAAAACATGTATTGTATATGATTGACAGTAAAAAATAATTTGTACTCGGAATGTCACCCAAGTCCAAGTCACTTTGTTTTGGATATCTGTTGATACCAAGCTCCGATCTGACACTGTACCTCAGCAATGCATTTAAAACATCAGTAAATAAATGGTATATCATCTGTGGCTTGTCAAAAGTGTATTTTCTTACTGTGTTTGTTTTTCTGCATCTCCATGCAGCGATCATTGATGCGCTGAAGACTGCCAAGGCGTCGCACCTCCTCATTGACGCAAAGATTCTGGAAAGCAAGATCACATTGTGTTTAGCAGCAAGTTTCAGCAAGTACGGCAAGAATATGCTTCTAACAGCAATCTTCACAACTGTAGCTAGGTTGGTAGATTATAAAGGTGGGTTGGTTGTGTTGGTTTTGTAGGTTAGTTTCATACTGTAGGGTGATACAAAGTTTTTTTTTTCCCCGTCAAAGAATTCCTTACAGTAGGGTGATTTGGCAGCTTTGTTTAGGAGGTAAGTAGGCTTGTTTGGCAGGTAGGCAGAGAGGCAAGTAGGTAGGAGGGTAGCTAGCTAGCTACCTAGCATAGGTAGGGAGCTAACTAGATAGGTTAGACAGGTTGGTAGCTAGTTTAGCGTTGGTTGGGAGGTCAGATAATTAGATAGTGGCGCTGTGCAACAGATCAACCCAGCCGCTGGGGAGCAGTGCCCTCCCCTGGGGGTACACTGTTCCCCGGTGCCGGTCCCAAGCCCGGAGAAATGGGGAGGGTTGCGTCAGGAAGGGCATCCGGCGTAAAACTTTTGCCAAGACGGACATGCGAGTTGATAGGGCGGTTTGCAGGGACGGATGGGAATTAATGACTCGCTGTGGCGACCCCTGAAAAGGGACGTGCCGAAAGGAGAAGAAGAAGCTGTGCAACAGATCAAAAAATATCGTTATTGCGATAGTGGCCAGTGCAATTTGCGAACAACAAATATGCGCAATAACTTTAATATGGAATTGTATTCTTTTATCTGAATTTGACCAGTCATGTGTACCACCATCCAACAGGTGAACAGTATGTAGGTACATTACAATTAATTACACACGAATACATTGAACTTGATGATTTGTCTACATGAAAACAAAGTATTTCTTTCATTCGATAATACAAATGCAATATCTTTAGGCACATGTTAAATATTGCAATAATATCGATATCACATGTTTTTCCAATATTGTGCAGTCTGAGTAGGTTGGTAGATTGGTTTGGTGGATAGGTAGGTTGGACAAGTAGTTAGGTATGTTGGTTTGTTGGGCAGGTCAGCTTTATCTTGGGTAGACAAATTAGGTATGTGGCTCGGTTGGTAAGTGTGTGAGTTTCACCTGCCGGGAGCCCAGCGTGACCAGACTGATGTCCTTGCTGAAGGGGCTCTTCTGAACTTCATGGACAAACTGAGCAAGCTGTGAGTGTGTGCGACTGCAGTAGTAAATCTGTTTACACACACACACACACACACACACACACACACACACACACACACACACACACACACACACATTATGCATCTGTTCAGTATTCACATGACAGCACACTACATAATGCTAGACATCACACGACCTTTGTGACATGCTCCTCGACTAGCTCGTCAACCTCTTCATCCTCTCCCACGCAGAATCTGAGGAGATGTACACATCCTGCCGTTATGGTGTGTGATTACATCACAAAGGTTCCAAGTCGAATGGCCGTTCACACCTGCTTTTTGACTTGGAATCGTCGTCACTTTCATACTCTGCGATAATAAGATCCTCGTCATCTTGATTTGCCGCTACGTCGGTTTGATCCTCTTTAGTGCACTGCAATAACTTGAATGCTTCATCCTCATCACAACTCTATGGACAGACAAAAGAAAGAAATACCCTTGTAGTAGTCCAGTTGTTTACAAACCAACATTCTTATTAACAAAAAGAATGAGTCCAGTGCAAGATTAAAGTTTTAGAAGGCGGCCCGACCGAGGCAACTTAAAACGTGTGTGGGGGTGACCTGAAGAGAGCTGAGGCCAGTTCCTTTATTTCTGAAGACTGAAAATAAATCTAATTTAGACATCTATAGCTGAATGTCACATGATCAACAATTAAACTTCTATTTCCAGGTATTTCAATCACGATCAGAAACTTAGTCTCCTTGTCAGCGGGTAAAATGCATTCTCTATGGGGTTGAAGTCGTGCCCCGGATAAACTCCTTTTGCGTTTTGTACCATTAGCTTGCTACCTTAAGAAGGTAAATTAGCAGGCAAAACGCTTCGGTAGATTTCTGAGTCTGACGTTATGTGTCACATAAATGAAGATTAATGAGCCTGTCGTCCTAGAAGACATGACAGACTAAGCCACATTACCTCCAATGAGTTTCACAAATGAGCTTGTTAAAAAGCTAAACCTCTGACTCATCAGTCTGTGGGTCTGATTTATTTTCCAGCTTTTCTCAGCTTCAGTCACTTTTTTTTTCACCTTGAGTCATCTCAGTCTTTTCCGTTGGTTACACCTCAGGTGCAGATGTTGCTCTTTTGTCGCAGTGAGTACTTTGAATCCACTTGAAAAAGTTATGCACGAAGTTTTCAAATGATTTTATTCCATGCCCACTGTACACAACATACAACACAAACCAATTCTTCACAGACAACCAAGCAATCATTTTAAGCAAGATACTGGAGCTTACCTTTCTTTTCATTGCATACTTGAGTTGAACATTCGTTCTAATCAGTTCTAAGCGCTCCTCTCGCTTCTGCCTTTTCATTTCATCCTCCTGAAACGGAACAAAAACAGACCAATGTGAGCATTCTGATTTCTATCATTCTTAACTTCTTAACTGATAAGCCCTCACCTTCAACTTTGACACTAAATCCCGTTCAGCCTTTTTCTGTACAAAACTAGTAATCCAATCTGGCTCTGTGGACAAACTTTGGGCGGAGGCCTCTGGGTCGGATGGAGAAAGTGACGTCTGGCCCTTCTCCAGCAGGGCGGCCGCTTCTTGCTTTCTTTTGGTTTCAAAGTCTGTAAGCCAGCTCAGCGCTCCGCATATCAGACTGAGAGATTTGCCCTGGATCAGAGGCAAAACATATTTCATTTGGAATCATCTTGCACGTATCATGCTCTCAAATACACAAGCATACCGTCCCTGTGGGGCTTTCAAAGATGCCAACTTTGCCCTGGTCCAGTGCACTATACAAGCAGCGCATGAACTCCTCTTGGATGGTGTAAGGCTGGTAAGGAAATGGAAATTGGGATCTCTCATTCGCCATGATGACAAACCTGAGGACCAAATGGGACACATTACACTTAAAGGCAACCACATGTGGTATTGCAACACGAGAATTGACTTTTTCATGATTGTTTACAAATATTTGGGCCTCTGGAATGCCTGTCTGTCCATCAAGTGTGAAACTAAACAACCCAGGAAATCTTTAGTTATCTTCTTATTGCTAAAAACATTTGTTTGAAAGTTATGAAACAATGGGGATAGTTAGCGTAATAATCGCCCTCACACAGTCTTTCTCTGGAATATGCTGTAAAAATCCTCGTTGGAATATTTTGACAAAATCATGCCACTGACATGTTTTTAAGACACCTGGGTACTGTTTTGAATTGTAAAACAAAACACAATGACAGTACACTTGTTACAGTTACATTTATTAAACACAGTTCGGCCCGCCTTCAAAACTGTAACATCCATCAACGTTTTCCGGACACACAAATTCCAATTTGCATAAATTTCAATAAAAGCTACAGTGCTCACATTTTTAAGTTATGGTAGTAAGCGGTTATTCTTTAAAAATAGGGTTTCAAGGCAAGTATTAGGGCTTTAAAATAAGGCTTCAAGACAAGATTCGGGTTTCTAAATCGAGTTTCTCGCCAATGTTATAGTTTGTAGTTAGCGTTTCAAATTATGGTTTAAAGCCAGGGTTACGGTTTTAAAGAAGGGCTAAGGTTTCAAATTAGGGTGTCATGGTCAGTCTTGTGGTTTCAAACCCGGTTGTGAGATCGTATGAAAGGAAAAGGGGAGGTCGGAGGACGAAAGAAGGGGCTAACCTTCACTTTTGGGGTCTCCACCTTGGTCAAAACACACACGCACGCACCCACACGCCTCCTTGTTTCTTTCCTTATACTGTATAACTTTGTTAACTAGTGAATACTTCTAAAAATAAATGTTCAGCGCACTTTTGTCGACCTAGAATAGATCTGGTTGATTGCGCACTTTTCAGTCACAATGAACAAGTTTAGCAAGATCCACAACCACGATCGTCTCGTGATTAAACGCTACAAAACGCCTCATTTAGGATTACTTACAGTTCCTTTTACGATCCCGTCAGGTGAACTAGTGGTACTTTGGGTAGCATAAATAATCATTTCGGAGTAAATTGCATCTTTATATGACAAAGGATATGGAAAAATGGTAAAGAGTTAGTCTGTTTTGAGTAGTTTCAACTCCCGCGCCAAGAGAGCGCAAAGGACGTCGAAGCGGGCCAATAAGGAACAAGCTCATATAACGTGTGCGCGTTTTGTCTGAAAAGGCAGCACTCGAGGGCGGGTTTATTATATAAATGTAATTTTTCAGTTTTGTCTGGCTTTGATATAATTTTTAAAGCCATATTGTACTGTGAGTAGTTAAAACTGAGACGTATTGTGCTGATAGAAGATTCAGTTGTTGTGCTATTACTAGTTGTTTAAAACCGCCATTTCTGGAGATTCCGGTTTATTTATTTAACACCCCAAGCGCTTGGTTCTTCTCTATGGTTCCTTCCAGAATGTCTGGAAAGTTCTTTGCTTGAGGTGCTAGACAGGATCTCATATACGAGTGAGCTTTGCACGCTTTACGGACATTCAATCGTAAGCGCTTTGCTCGGCGACCGGTTAACGCGTCGTTTGTACTAGCGGTTTGGTCAAAACAAGAGGTAGCAGTAGTATAAGATAGGCGTTAACACACCAGGTCGGTGTTAGTGCTTTTGAGTACTAGTTAAAGTCAAGCTTCGGTTTCGCGTAGCCTCATTTTTGCAATGACCGCCGAGGAGCAAACGGCAGAAGGACACCACGCCATCCCCATGGAAGGAGACGACATCACTCCCAAGAAAGATGGAGGTGTTTTGAAGGTAATTATTCACATTGAGAGCCTCTCTCTTTTTTGCTACCCTTAAGCGCATGGGCTAATAGCGTTAGCTGTCATCAGCTAACGCACGGCGGGCAGGTTGCTAACCGTTTATTTATTGTCTTTGGTAACTAATCGTGGGAATGTCTAACCAGCTCGATGTAACGACGTCTATGTAAACCTTCTAGAATCATCAACATTGGCGACCAAATAAGATGTTGAGACGTGTCATAAATAAATAACCTTTTGGTCCTGGTTGTTGTTGACCACGTGACAACAATGTTATGTATTTCAACCAAAAAAAAAAAAAAACGTGTAAAGATCCGAGTTTACGTTGCTTTTTGATGCAGTGTTTCTCAAGTTTTAATGAGCAAAAGCACATGGATGTCTGTACGAAATAAATCACATAGCTCATCAACAGAGACACTTTAATTTATCTGCTATTCACTCTTAGGTCGCTGGTTTAGATCAAAGGTAGCATTATTTTTAGCAATGAAATCCTGTCGGGCCAATTAAGTAAAATAGGGTAATTACACTCGGAGACAGTCTAAAACGCTTTATGTAAAAAAAAAAAAAGCTTAACGTGTCAGAAAACTACAACCAATCGTTTACCAAAATTCACATGCACATCTCTCTTTGTGCCCACTTCAACCTCTGAAAATATTGACAAAATTGCAACAGTATTTTGGATAATAGGAGCATCAAGCTTTTTCTTCCCCGTAGAGATTCACTGTAGGTACAAAAATTAACAAGGCTTAAGGTTAGCAAACGACCAATCGCCACTAAAATTCATGTGTCAGAAAATATCAAAACGAAGGAAAACGCTTCATGTCCATAAAATCCAAAATACGGTGGTGATTGCTTTGACATTTTCAGAGGTTGAAGTGGGCGTTGGTGGTGGTGTTCATGTGAATCTTGGTCGTGATTGGTTTAGTACTTTGCGAGTCTATCTCACAGTTCTGATGTTTGGAATTTGAATCTCAGCTCAGATTTTGTTGTTCTTCTTCTTCCATTCATAACTTTGCTGCTGTGAATTGGGAATTTCTCCATTGCGAGACTAATAAAGGTTTTCTTATCTTATCTTATGTTCAAACCAGGTCTGCCTGGATTTTCTCTCGTACTGTCTTTCTCCCGCATTCCAAAAAATTCCATGTTTTGTATTTTGTTCAAGAAAGACACATACGTAGGTGTGTATGAATTGGGTGCCAATCGGTCTCTAGAGAGTAACCCACCTCTTGTCACAAAGTCAGCTGGGAAGTCCTCCAACTCACCTGAGACCCAAACGAGGATAAAGAAAATGCATGGATGTTTTGTCTACAAATATTTCTCTGGAGTGCCTGCCAGCCATCAAGTGTAAAATTAAACAACCGTGTAAATCATTTAGTTGGCTGCCATTTTCCGAAATCTGCCCTGTGTGAACAGCTCAGCACTCACTGTTACCAAACAACAAGGTTAATTCATGTAACCACCCCCACGCAGACTTTCTCAGACAGTTACTTGACCAGATAAATTGGCCGACATTCTTTGATGGTTTAGAATTCACTCAAAGGCGGGCTGAGCCTGCTGTGTCTTCCTGAAAAACAGCGTTGTGGATCAAGCCCACCAGTTTTGCGCCAGGTCACACGAAAGGGGAAACCAATCTGTGTGCTACCATAGCAGGCTGCCAACCACTGGTCCGGAGATGCAGTTGTTAAAGATGTCCAACTGTCATGGGTTGGGCGATGTTCCAAAGAACCACTCTGAAGCATCGGAAACAGCACGTGTCATGTCAAAGCCAAAGGAGGCTGCAGCGTTTGAACGGATTTGCATTGGCTTACAATGTCAGCAGCCTTTTAAGTTCAGAGAATGTTACGATAATGTTCATTAGTTGTTGGCATGCGAGTGGTCAGAATTTCTAATTGGTGGCGTTCATGCGCCACAATACTACACTAATTGATTTTATTTTGGCGATGGGGTAAAACGCTACACGAGTTATTCAATGCAATGGCATATAATGGAAAAACCTGTTGGTGATGTTCGTTCTTGAGCATCTGCCAAGAATGCTTGGAGCTTTCTGAAACACGCCTGTGATGCAAATTCAACAAAATGGAAAAATATGAGCATGTCGATGACAGACTTTTGCCAAACAGTGTTCTTTGTGTCCCCACTCCTATTTTTGGTTGTAGGGTGGAACCTTGACTAACAAGTGTGCCAACTTGAGTTTTTCACATTACAGAATGCTGCTGGGAGGATTTTATTTACTTAGTGTTGCCAAGTCAGAATTTAAGTTCTGAGAGAGCTTCACATTTGCCGCCACCAGAGTGAAGTTTAAAAAAAAAAAAAAAAAAGATGCAATTTAGGTTCTGTAATGCATGTGGGCAAGTAGAGCCACAGGTGCCGATACTCTTTCGGTTGTTTATTGAATAGGACAAACAGTCACACACGCATACAAAATGAGAACATTCAGAAACTGAGAACATTCACGCACAGACAGTCGCACACAGATTAGCTGGCCAATCCGACTCCAGGTCCTGTTGTTACCGACAAGGCCATGCATGCCCTTAAAGGCACGCATCCAACAAATAGATGCTACTGTACATACAGTAATTAATGGGGCCTGACTTATTAATCGGCTGGTCAAAATTAGCTTTTGAAAAATCGCCCCCCCCCCCAGATAAATGAATGAATGAATGAATAAATCGACAAAGAATTGTCCATTTAAAATGAATACTAAAGGATAATGCAGTAGTCAGTTTTTGCCTGTAATTCACATGTTCATTGTTTTAAGTGTTAAGGCACCAAAAAGTACATTATTTCATTCACTATACATTTTAAAAGTAATCGAACGATTATTTCGTTATTGGGATTTTATTCTGATGAATATCAGAACTGGCACCAGTCTAAAAAAAATTATATATATATATATATATATATATATATCATGCATGCATTTTCTAAAACCATTTTTTCACATTCTCATATATTGTCTGGAACACATAAGTGGCATTTCATTGAGCAATATGTATGTGATATAAAACTAAATGGAGTCGCAAGCTTGATTCACGGAACAAATTAAACAATGTACTACTGTATGTCCTCGCTGTCTTATGTTTTCAGCTGGTGAAAAGGGAAGGCACTGGCACAGAGCTGCCAATGATTGGGGACAAAGTTTTTGTCCACTACGTGGGCACCCTCCTGGATGGCTCCACCTTTGACTCCAGCAGAGACCGAGGAGAGAAGTTCTCTTTTGAGCTGGGCAAAGGTTGGTTTCCCATCATTTGGGAGAAGACATTACCCCGTCACACCGACAACAATGTTTTCATCCGTCTTCCCTGTTTGCGTGTGCAGATCAAGTCATAAAGGCATGGGACATCGGCGTGGCTACTATGAAAGAGGGGGAGCTCTGCCAGCTCATCTGTAAACCTGAGTATGCGTATGGGTCTGCCGGCAGCCCACCCAAAATTCCCCCTGATTCAAAACTTATTTTTGAGGTAAGCCTTGACATGCATCCAAGTTGGCCTTGTTTCATTATCAGTGTTGTTGCCCAGAGGATTTGAGACATAGTATCGACTCAACTTCCCATGTTATCTTCCTCTCAAGGCAGTAAACTAATTGAGAGAGAATTAACTGTGGTAAATTGCGCAGTCCATTTTGCTCCAGTTTAGTCGAGCGAGATGCACACCAATTTTAGCTGATTTTTTATTTTTTATTTTTTTTAATGTGAGAGACCACACACGATGACAAAACATTGACTTGCGAGCCCTTGCCTCTAAAGGGTCTTTTGTACCCAAATGGCATGGATTGGCCTAACTCTAATTTGCATTTGTAAATACTGAACAAGTGTAATCTTTAGACATACTAGAAGTCTGATAATCATGCCCTGCAAAGGAGGGAAATGCTCATATTCAAGCAGCCCCTCCCCACCCAATAAGAAATCTGTCCAAAAATATAGAGG